GGGGAGGGAGGGGAAGAACAGAAGAAGGGAGAAATGATGAGGAGATAGGTTTAGAAGAGGGGAGGAAAAGAAGAGAGGGAGGAAGGGGGAGGGGGGAGAAGGGTTAAGAATGTAGGTAAAAGGATGTGTGGTTGTAAAAAGCAAAGCGGTATCTGTGTTGGTACAATCGGTGCCATGATTCTGTTGTTGTTTCCACAGATCCTAGTGGACACGGCTCAGAAGAGGCAGGCTCTGAACGAGGTCGAGGCTCGGCACATGGAGATCATTCAACTGGAGGCCAACATCAGGGTCAGTCCCATTCCCATACACACACGTTGTGGTTCCAAGTCGCTCCCATTTCCAACTCCCCCTGCACACAGCATCTGCTATTTCTACGTGCATTGCACTGTGAAGGAGTATAATTATATATACAGTGTGTTTCTGTTTGTATGTATGTTGTGTCTGTAGGAGCTGTACGACATGTTCTTGGATATGGCCAACCTTGTGGAGGAACAGGTGGGGAATAGTACTACATGTACACAGTGGAACACCTCTCTAAGGACACCTGCTCTTTCCCTTGAAATTAGGACTAATGAGGACACCTTTTCTTTCTCAAATTATTTATCAAAGTGCATGCAATACCCCTTTCTAATCAGCTGGACACCTTTCTCAACTTGCATGCAGGACACCTTTCTCTGTCTCACCTTTCTAATGGGCAGGACACCTTTCTCTGTCTCACCGGTGTCCAGATTAGAGGTGGTCCGATGCTCTGTCACTCCTCTTTCACACAAACACACACACAATCCATTTCTCTTCATCTCTTTCCCTTCTCATCTACCTTCTGATTTCCTTTCTCTAACCCTCCTCCCCCTCTGTCTTTCGCCCCGCCCCGCCCCTCCCTCCTGTAATTAGGGAGAACTAATTGATGTCATTGAGCACAACGTGGAGCATGCGGCCGACTTTGTCCGCAAGGGCCAGCAGGAGACGAGACAGGCCGTCAGATACCAGCGAACAGGAAGAAGGGTTCGTCTCTGCGAGCTGTTGTGATGTGTGAGGTGTACGTATATACGTATATATACCCACATCTTACACTCTGTTGGATTTGGGCTGAATATGGGAGTAATCAGCTTTATATATACAGTAGTTGTAGTAGAAGTGGGTATATATACGTATATACACCCACATCTTACACTCTGTTGGATTTGGGCTGAATATGGGAGTAATCAGATTTTGTCTCTGGTATATATACAGTAGCTCAGTATACGTAGTCCACTGGACTTTGAGTCACGATGCCCGAGAGAGTTCTACTTTAACTCTTTCTCTTCTTCCATTTTCATTTCTACCTTCTTCGTCACTGCAATAGTTTATACAGTGGAACCTCCGATAAGGGCTCCCCCAATAATTATGGGACACTTCTCTTACCTCAAGTAGGTGATGTGCCTCTTAACCCTTAGCAAACCACGAGCATAATTATGCCCAGAGCCTCCATATGTCCATAAGAATTTATGGCTATAAACTAGTGTACCCATGGCGTCCAAAGGGTTAAGAGTGCAGTGTACCCATGGCGTCCAAAGGGTTAAGAGTGCAGTGTACCCATGGCGTCCAAAGGGTTAAGAGTGCAGTGTACCCATGGCGTCCAAAGGGTTAAGAGTGCAGTGTACCCATGGCGTCCAAAGGGTTAAGAGTGCAGTGTACCCATGGCGTCCAAAGGGTTAAGAGTGCAGTGTCCCCATGGCGTCCAAAGGGTTAAGAGTGCAGTGTCCCCATGGTGTCCAAAGGGTTAAGAGTGCAGTGTCCCCAAGGTGTCCGTTATTCAGCTGTTTCTTCAGTTTTCAATGTACAGCTAATGATTTAAGCTGCAGACTAGCTCTAAACAAAGCAACTACGTGACGCTAGCCCTGACCTTTTTAACTCCCCAATTACGCGCTTTTAGTGATGCTGCTCTTTGTCTCTTCCTCTCTCCTCCGTAACTTACCCCTCTCCCTCTAGTTACGGTGGATAATTTGTCTCATCGTCGGTGGCGTAGCTCTCGGAATCCTGATAGTCATTATGATCGGCGTCGCTGTCGGGGTGTGTAATAACAGTGACAAGTGTTAATACATTATTAGCTAATTTAATATTGGTATAATATATGTGTACTATTGCATATACACAATGCATAGCTTTACATTTTGTATACGATCATTTCATGTGTCTTTTGTACTGTATATATAAAAAGAGGCAAAAATTGTGTTCATGTTCAAACTTTCAATGTTTAAAATTTTGCTCAGATTTTCCCCTTGTATGGCGATTCCAACTCATTGAGGTGACCAATGAAATCGCCCGGAGTAATTATGTGGGTGGAGCCTGCAGTAATAATGAATATAATTAGCAATGGGGGTCATAGGTCACCCGGTGCCAATTTACCGATCACGATGTCGTGTGTTGGAAACTTTCGAGTGACCTCGTAGGCGGCTCTTATCTCGGAATACGTGACTCCGCCCACTACAAATATGATGAGGCGTGGCTTCGGGACATCTTCCTGTGTGATTATGACAGTCAGAACATTAATCAGAACAACAGTGTATCAATTTCCGTTATGAAACACAGCGCAACTGCCCAATGCTTACCTGAGAGGAGCTAACTGTTGCTCCTCTCTTCCTGTCTGTCCCTCCGACCCAATTCCACCGACCTCTGTCACTGCGGACACTGAGAGGGTGTGTGAGTGTGTGTTTGTGAGAGAAAAGAGGTGTATTTTAGGTATATAGAGGGAGGGAACTAGGAAGGCAGGGAGAGCAGGAAAGCGAGGTAGAAAGAAAGAGAAGGGAGGACGAGAAAAGTCATTGCAGTGGAAAAGGGACACCTGGGAACATTGAAAGTGTCCTTTGTTCAGAGGCATCCTTTACTAGGAGGTATATAGTATGGGGCAGAACCAAGTGTCCCTTATAGAGAGGTGCCCCTCATTTAGAGAGTCCTTCTTCAGAGGTGTCACTGTATATTATACCTCACTCCGACTGGGGCGGGGTGGGTGGAGGTGGAGGAACGAGGCGAGAAGCCAGGATGCTGTGACAGCACGGGACAATAGCTCGTATCCAGCCTCCCCTCTATGGCAAACTACACACCAAGTATATACACCAAGAGAGAATCTTCAGTCTTGTCGGAAAAGGGGCACACTGTAGGCATATACCTCCATGATGTCTTGAATGATGGGTATCCAACGAGAGACGACGTATCTCTCTCCTTCGTCCCTCTCCTTCCTCTTCAGCTCTCTGCGACTGCTCCTCAATACCGTTCCCTCTGCCTTCACGTCCTTCAACACTGGGGTGCCCAAGGCAGGCCAGGTTCAGGATTGAGCTCCTGTGGGTTTATTGAAGGCACCTTATAGAGATACTACTCATGAGCATAATGAAAAGCACTGAAGTGCAAACCCTCGGCGCATTGTGACGCGCACGCGTAAGTAAACGCATGCGCCGTACCACTAATTGATAGGCTGGGTTTAGTTTTAGCTGTTACTCGTGGTCTCTTCCCAGCTCGCGCAGAGTCTGACGCGGGCTAACTACACTACTAGATAGCATGCGAGAGGCGATACACGCCCTGCGTTACATCTTCTGGTGCCTCTGAGGTACGCAGAGCACGCGGATCGATCAGACCGTGGTAAGCCGTCCCGTCCGTTGCCTATTTGCATATTAGCTTTTTCGCGCTCTAGCTCTGCAACGGAGCAGTTTCAGAGAAAACCCCACATATTTTCTGACCTTCATTGCCCGTTCAGTAGGTGGTATCCTTTGTGAGACGAACGAACACTCGAGAAGTGAGATGACGAGTAACAGACAGACACACACACACACACACACAGACAGACAGACAGACAAACCCAACTACCGTAACCCTCGCTGCGCATGCGCGCCGAGGGTTAATTATTGTGTTTTGCCACTATTTTCTGTTCTAAATGTCTTCTTAAATACAGGGAAATAACTCAGACAGCAATGGGGTAAAATTTCCATATTAGTGACGTGTCCTTATATTTCATGCAAGAACTGTTCATTGGAAGAGAGAGTGTCCTTTATTAGAGAGTTGTCCTAAGTAAAGTGAATACCTCTCTTTGGGTGGAATCTCCACTCTCTGGATCAGTTTGGCGAACCCCTCTTTGGCCTCCCCTGGGGATAAATATATATGCAGCCTAAAACCGTATTCTCTAGCTGAACACAGCAGAATGTTCTTACCTTCGCTGAACAGAAGCTGCAGCATCATAAGGCGAACCTTTTCATAGACCCTGCAGTACAGTGAGACCTCTGAATGAAGACACCTTAAAGTGTAAAGGGTCTGTTTATAGAGAGGTGTCCGTTATTTCGGAGAGTCCTTTTTCAGGGCTGTTCGACTCTAGCAAACCATTGGACTATTCTTCGTAGAAAAAAGACAAGTTTTCTTCTAACCCGATCTTTCTGTCAAAGAGAATGGGTGTGGTGAGGTTCATGGCACTATCAATCTTCTCTCCTGTTTCGCTCTCCCCAGTGGCGAGGTCCTGCTCCGCCTTGCACAGATCAAACATCCCTGGATCACATGACAGTCACATGAAGTTCATGAGTGTGTGTTGTTGCTGCACCTGCTTTGAGTTTCTTGTCACATGTCTCGGCCAAGCTGAAGTGTCGGGCGAGCTGAAACGGACGGTTAAAATCAAAATCTCTTCCTTTTTCCACTATTGTATAATAACATTACCTTGCTTAGCTCCTTCTGATACTGTGGGACCTCCTTTATCATCTGATGCAGCTTCTTGACGGACATCTGTGGCAACCAACCACACATCACAAACACAAATCACTTATTCCTACAGCATCTTACATCGTACGAAGCGGTGGGCGATTTCGACTTGGAGTCGGCAAATCCCTTTACCATTTCCCGAACTTCGCTGCGCACACATAATAGTGAGCAGGATTGCAAGTTGAAGGGTTTGCTGGTTTTCATTTTTCGATTCGCTCACCCTATTACATCAGAGATGAACTTGTGCCTCAGTTCCACCCAGAGTGGGTCACTCTCTGGGGAAGACGGAAAAAAAGAACGGTTTCCCCTCACCTTCATTCTCTTGTCTGACACACACACACACCACACTTACCATCAAGAATGACCTCCCGTGAGTGTTTTCCTCCTCCTTCTGTCGTCGCTTCGTAGCTGTGATTGGAAAACACAGTAGTAGCTAATGGAAAACTATATGCATGTGTACTGTGCGTTCTCTAACACTGGTAAAATGTACCTATCCACTTTCAATCTCAGACATTATAATTCTACTAAGTTTTAGTTAAGTTTTTGTCCAAGGAGATTATTGTACCTGTAGACGTCTCTCTTTATGCCCAGAAGATCATACACCATGGCCTGGAATGGAGAATGGATCGTGTGGCAGTATGAAATATGGGGGTATGAGAGTTTACCTGGTAGGTCAGCTCGTGTACCAGTGGAGACACCACATCAAAACCCCTGCAATTTGTTATTAAATTGCCAGTAAGAGTGACGTATGCACACGACTTCAACAGCAATACCTGTCCAGTATGATTAACTCTGATTTATTCTTCCCTTCATCCTAAATGAGAAAACATGGTGAAAGTGTAGTACATAAGAAGGCTATGCATGATATAAACTGTATACCGTAGCAAAAGAGGGGGATTGCATTTTGAAATCTTCCAGTCGTTTGTAGAGCTCGTGTGCTATGTCCTCAACGCCAGCAACTGCCCTGTGTTCAGTAGACAGATGAGAGAAATGAGAGAATTAACAACAGAGTTAGGAGAGGTAGGGGAAAGTTGGGAGAAAGTCAGGACAAGCCGTGAAGGACATTGTCCATATCTTCTAGAAACAGTTTCTAACTTAGCCCACATAATTATTATTATACTGCCACTTTCCTTTAGCAGCCTCACTTGTTGCATCTGATTGTAGGGAACTCCCCGAGAAATGCACAGAGGGTGGCCAGCTGGTCGGCGATCCTGGTCTTCATCTCTCCCTTGCCCGCTGAGCCGGGGGAGAAGAAGAGGCGAAACGAGTCGGGGAAATTGAGGGTGAACACTCGCGACTCTTTCGGGAGAAACCCAATGTATGACTCCTTCAACGACCTTATGTCTGGTGGAAACGTTAAAGGGAATGTGTCAGTATATGAATGCTAAAAGAAGCAGAAAAACTGTTTAGTTTGATCTTTAGTAACATTTCTATATTTAGCCCTTATTTACTTTCAGGATTCACGCTCTCCATCCATTTATGTCTGACTTACATTTCTTGGCAGGAGACTGCTGCAGTTTGGTCACCAGCACTGGAGGCAAACCTAACAAGAGAGGAAGTTCAATTTTGTGTTGTAGGAATATGACAGTTTAGTTTCATACGGTCAAGTAGAAAAACATGTGCTGCTTTGTACACTCTGAAGCTTTCGTCAAAATCCATGAGCATCTTTGTCAGTGACTGCAAAATTTTAGATCATTACCGTATGTTTTAAAAAGTGGTCCCCAGAATTCTTACCTCCTCACTAGGCCACATGATGTAGATAGCTTCCCTTGCAAGCTGTGGCTCTTTCGATTTTTCCAGTCCCTCCACCACTGTATGCGGCGGTATCACATGATGTATCACATGATGGTCACGTGACTCAGTGGTCTAGTCAAACGACTCACGTGTGATTCCTTTGCTCATTACGTCGTGCATTCGGCAGCAGGAGGAAACAATACTTGTGGACAACTGGTCCAACACCAGCACCTATGGCAGCATCATTATCAGCAGACTAAACAACTTTTCAAGTGTGTGACACAGTGCTTTTCTAGTATATAGCTAGACAATGGGATGACCTTACACTAAACCCTCTCTCTAATAAGGAAACTCTTTCTTTCCCCAAGAACAGTTGGGTGAGACAATTGAACCAAGGACACCCTCTATATACTTATTCTGTCCCATTAGTGTCTAGTGAGGTTCCACTAGGACTAACTTTCAGAAAAATCTATCATTGTACCAATAATTATAGTAGCTTACTCTCCATTCTCCCAGTTTAAAGAGCGGCCCCAGAATATCATCCAGGATCCCTGCACCAACATAGAGACCTCTGACGAGCCCCTCCCATTTATAAAATTCTCGCAGATTGCTATATACGCGCGTTCTTTCTCTCACGCGACGACGATACCAACTTACTCTTAGACACGAGATCTTTCAGCGACATCGCTATATACTTTCCAACAAGACGCCCCTTACTACACCACCCAAAGTCAGGAACCTGCGCTGAATACGGCTTTGCAACACTACTCTCGATGAATAATAATAATTATAGCGCAGACCCTTATTCGGATACGCATGCGCAGTTGGGGTATATCAACTAGCACGCATGCGCTGAATAACCCGAGGAGAAAACCATGGCAGACGAGGAGCTGAAGAAAGCGTTCTCTGAGCTTCAGGTGAAGCGAATGGAGACGACTCAACTGGTGGCCGTGTCAGAGGGACAGCGACAGGCTCTGCAGCGGAGCATCACGCACTCTCAGCTCACGTGCAAGGAGATAACCGAGTTTCCGGAGGGCACGCCGCTCTATCAGAGCGTCGGACGGATGTTTCTACTGGCCACGAAGGAGGAGGTAAAAAAATCGCTGTCGGGAAACGAAGCATCGGCCAGGGAAAAGATCGGGGAGATAGAAAAGAACATCAGTCGCTGGGAAAAGGCGCTGAAGGAACAGGAGGACAGTCTGAGAGAACTCGTATCGCACAAACAGAGCGAGAAATGAGCTGACGTTAGCTTTCATGTCACTTTGCTGGTTTACTCCAATAAGTGCCCACCTAACGGATTTTTTCGCTCGGGCGCATGCGCGAGCCAAACAAAATGGCGGCATCGAGTGGTGGTGGAGTTGTGTTGGAGTGGCGGGAGCTGGAGAGCGACCCCGGGCTCTTCTCGCTGCTCATAGAAGACTTTGGAGTCCGCGGTGTTCGGGTGGAGGAAGTCTACGACATCTCCACGCGGCTGAGCGGGAAACAAGTCTACGGTTTCGTGTTTCTCTTCCGCTGGGAGGGAGACAGACGCGCTAGGAAGAAGTCCCTGGCCACCTACGACACGTTTGTGACCGAGGAAGAGGTGGTGAATCGGATCTTCTTCGCCAATCAGGTCGTCACGAACTCGTGCGCAACGCACGCGCTTCTCAGCGTCCTGCTAAACTGTCCTAGGAGCCTACAGCTGGGCTCGCTACTCACCGAGTTCAAGAGTTTCACGGCGGGTATGTGCCCCGAGGACAAGGGGCTCGCCATTGGAAACGTGGCTGAGCTGGCGAGGGCACACAACAAGCATGCCAAGCCGGAGCACGTGACTCCACAGGTGATAAACAGGGGCAGGTCCTCCGTGGTGTCTTCTGCGCACGCACTCCAGCCAGAGACCTACCATTTCACCAGCTACGTCCCGATCAGCGACCGACTGTTCGAACTAGATGGACTCAAAGACTACCCTATAGACCACGGCCCGTGGGGCGAACAGGAAGAGTGGACCGATCTCTTCCAGAGGATAATCTCCCACAGACTCTCAAAGGCAGAGAACATTCTGTTCAACTTGATGGCCGTCGTCCCCGACCCAGTCCCGCAGCTGTCTCGAGAGCTGCGCTGCCTCCACGACCATCAGAAGGAGCTGCTGCAAGCGGCTCTCTCCCTGGCTAAGAAAGAGGTGGAGGGAGGGAGGTTTCTTGTAAATGGTACTTGCAAAGACGGTGATGATGCACCGTTGGACGAGGAATACGCCAGAGAGTGCAAGTTGCTGGAGGAGGTCTCGAAGAACGAGCTCACATCCGAAGAGGAAGTGGAGAGGTTGTGCGAGCTTGCAGAAACGGTGGATAAAACTCAGGCCGAGAGACTCAGGATTGCCGTTGCTCGCGTGGTGCAAAACGACCTCCACCTGGAAGCGACAAAACTCAAACTGAACGAGGAGATAGAGACGAAGCAGCGCTACAGAGTCGAGTTCTCACGGAGAACCCACGACTACTACCCGTTTATCACTCAGTTCCTGAAGATGCTGGTGCACAACGAGCAGCTCCCGGCGAGACTCTTGCGCAAGCCGTCGGCCTCCCAGGAGGGACGTCGCGGGAGTGGCTCTGTATGCCGCAGAAAGAGACCGCCTCGACAGAGACCCTCCAAATCAAAAACTACACTGCTACTGAACGGGACCAGAGTCACTTCTTGATCTGTTGTATTGTTGTATGCCTTCTTGTTGTGCATGTATATACGTAGTTCAAAGTTCATTTTGTTACACACGTGCGCGTTGATTTCTCGGTTCTTCTGCTGAAGCTCGAAGGAGACCTCTGGAGACGCGAGTCGCAGGCTGAATGGATCTAGCGAGGTATTACAACATAGTCTACGACCAGCAGTTCTCACCGAGCGGCAAGTACCTGGCCACAGGCGACGCCTACGGCAGGATCGCCGTCTTCAGGTGAGCATCAACAGTATAGCTAGCTGGAGGCAGCGTTTACCGTCCTTCCAGTTTACAGACGGCACTCGGTCATTCTCCAACCTCGGGAGAAAAGACTCCTCTTAGAGTGAAAAAAGGCTAGTTTCTCTAGTCGTTTTAGTCGCTGTCTTCACACACACACACACACTCTCTCTCTCTCTCTCTCCAGTTCAAAATGGGCCACTGTACAGTCTAACTACCGTGGGGTCACTACTGGCCAGTGGAGGTTGCAGTGACATCAGACTGTGGAAGTGGGAGGAGCTTGTCTCCTCCTTGGCTGACCCTCAACCCCTCCATGTACTCACCCCTCAATCTGGGTATTGGTGACCCTGAGAAAATTGGCCCAATTAGTGACATAATACCTCTCGTGCAGGAAGAGTGGTTCTACGGACACAAACAGCCTTGTCTATGATGCTGCGGTGAGCTTTTTTAATTTGCCCTTCCAATTTTTAATGAAATTCGCATTCTAGGCCCTTTTTTTTATCTAAACCTCCATGTACATTCCCAAGATAGTTCAAAGTATTGAGAGCACAAAGAAGCATAAAAACGCTAGAAAATCTCTTGTTTTCTCCGTAGTCTGCTACCCTGTACTCTGGTGGAGGGGACAACACAGTCCAGGCCTGGGATATCAACACCGGAACTGTCAAGGTTTGTTCTCTTCCCGTCTCTGTCTCCTTCCCAGTGAATGTGGTTTTTGAGCCGTTTGTTTTTTATATCGTGTGTGCTGTAGATTCTCTGTCTGCACTGAACATGGGTCTGAATATGTGCCCTTTATAGAGTGTTTTCTCTCTACTGAGTGTGGCTGTTAAACTGTGTGTCTGTGCCCCGTAGAGAGTGTTTTCAGGGCACACTGGCTACATCCACTGTCTCTGTGTCAAGAGTGGAGGTGGTGTTCTGTCAGGGGCTGAAGATGGAACCGTCAGGATGTGGGGTAAGTGTGAATCTCTCTCAGTCGGCCATTTTTATATACCTCTTCTCTCTCTCAGACCCAGCTTCTCCAACTGCTGCACTTACCTGGAAACCAGCAAAGGTGTCTTCATTGCTACAGAGCGTGTTTTACCTAGATGAAATTCTGTTAAGACCAAAGTTGTTTTTCATGCTACTTTTGTTAGCTCACGATGTCCATATCACAAATCAGGAACCTTGTACTAACAAATCTGATTGGTCGATATAATACTAGAGCGCTGGTGTTATTATGTCCCAACCAATCAGACCACCTCAGGCCAGTGGGTGGGGTGTGTGGCAGTTGACAGTGGTGGAGACTGGATGGTGTGTGGTGGTTCCATGGCCCCCTCAGTCTTCAGACTCACCTCCACCAACAAGATTGCCGCTCTCAGCGTCCCCGCTAACGTGGTCTCTCAGACTGCCATCTTCACCCAAGACAGAGTAAGCCCCAGTCACCACTTGCAGAGTTAAATGTGAATACGTAAGAATTGTAGTAGGGACCCAGTGCTAGAATGCAATTAACGTTTCCGTTTTCAGAAATGCAGTGTAATATGTTTTCACCTCCTCCTCCTCCGTCAGATTATAACAGCTGGTTCAGAGAAGGTCATCAGGCACTGGGCGGTGAACGGAGAGCCTCTGGCTGCAGTGCCTGGCGGACATAGCCACACATTCTCCCTCGCTCACAACTCCCACCACAAGTCCAAACAATACGAGGTCTGCTGCATGCTGTATCACGTCGTAATACTTCAATGTGAATGAAATCAATTACTGGCTTCGTGGGCTAATGTGGAACTCTATTTGTAGCTGAACTTTAAGTTACAGCTTTCCCAGAGTTGCACTTGTAACCAGAAAAGTAAAGTCCAAAAAATTTTGTGACTATATAATTATGCAGTGCACATGACTGTGTCGATTTCTGTAAATGTTGCAGATGTTGACAGCGTGTGGCGACTCCTCTGATGTCCATGTCTTCACTGACTTTGGCTACAGAGCTTTCTCTCTCACAATCACAAACTAGACTTGCAACTTTCTCAATTTCACACCAATATTATACTACTTTCTATCTTACTGCTTTGTCAACATGGATTGACTGTGGATACGAGATTATCACTTCCCTTAATTTTTGGTTTTATCTACGCGATGATGCGGACCTGGTCTCTGCCGGCGGCCTCTGCGCATATTAGGAATTTGCATGTGCAGCAGATTAGAAGCGAGAAGAAGCGGCAGATGGCGTTCGAAATGGCAGACAGGCTAAGCGCTCTCAGACAGGGCCCATTAGTGGTGAGTTTGCGTATTATATATAACGTGACGGTGCGGCTGCAGCGAAAACCTTACACTCGAACTCCTGTGCAATATTGACAAGTTACCCTTCCACGACGGTATATAGCTCTATGCGCAAATGCATAATAGCGCGCGTTCGTCACACATTGACATGATGCCGAGTCATACACCAGTCATTCCGAACGTATCTTAACTGCCTTGGCTAGCTAGCTTAGAATCAGGATAATGAACTGGTGGACGGGAAAGTCCCAAGGCGTCGTCGTTTCTCTCCTTCCACTAGCTACATAATGGTCTCGGCTTTTGTGTGAGTGGTATAGTGCGTACTACAGTTGTGAAGCGGAAAGGGCTGCTGCGCATTATTATCATGCACGAGTGTTCAGGACCAAGAAAACAATTATTGTATGAAGACAATGAGAATGAGACTGCAATTTTCTATGGGGATTGATGAGACAACTGGAGTTGAGGGCACGGCAATAACAATTGAAGTGGAGATGGACAATAATCTCAATGAAGTCTTTGCATCTGTAAGTCAAAAGGGGGAAATAATTTCTGAACCCCCATTTTGCACCTCTGTATAATATATATACCAGTCAGTATCTTCACTTATCCCTCTGTCTAGGTGGATCATCTGGCAGACACCATAAAAAAGATTGAGGAATTCATTGAGCACCTTAGAAAGCTGTACGAAAATGTTTTACCTTCCCAAAGCCAAGGTATGCCACTCTATCCACCACTTCTTCACTCCCGCTCTTCTTTTTAGTTCTAGCCGAAAGCCGCCAGACTATGGAACAGATTAAATCTCTTGCTCTGAAGGTTCAAGCCGATCTTAAGAGTTAGTCAATTTCTTTTCTCAGTTTTGCTCAGTTCCTCTGCTCTCATTGCTGTAGCGCTGTCCATTTATATACTCCCTCCTCTCTGACAGAAAAGAAACAGGAGATTAATTCGGTAGCACAGACACCAGAAAGGCACTCGGCAGAATCAAGAATCAAGGAAGCACAAGTTCTGACATGCACATTATTTCTCAATGTGCACAATATCTGAAATATGGGACAGCACTATAATCACATTAGAGGTGTTTTAATGACTGTTCACCCTCCACTCACTTTACCTTATTACAGCACTCGACTCTGGCTCGCAAGTTCCACGACGTCATGAGTGAGTACAATCAGGTTCAGGAGGAGTACAGGGACAAGACCAAACACAGGATCACCAGGCAACTGCAAGAAGGTGAGTGGGAGAATGTCCATGCAGATTATTTTCCTTTTCCCGTCCTTCTGCTTGTATTCCCCCACAGCTGGAAGAGAAGCGACGGAGGAGGAGGTTGAAGAACTGCTTGATCTGGCACCAACGTGTTTTTGAAAGACGTGAGATCATAGCGAGTCACAGAGAGGAGAATAAAGAGGGAAGGGGGAGGATTGAAGTGGCATTGAATAAAACTGTTTCCACAGGACCTCGTTGACACGGCTCAGAAGAGGCAGGCTCTCAACGAGGTCGAGGCTCGTCACAAGGAGATCATGCAACTGGAGGCCAACATCAGGGTCAGTCCCATTCCCATACACACATTCCACTACTTCATGGTTCAAACTTGTGGCAAATAAGTCTTGTACTGTAGTTATTGTAAGTGTCTTGTGCAGGAACTGCACGACATGTTCCTTGACATCGCCATTCTTGTGGAAGAGCAGGTAAAAGCTTTCGATTATGTAACATGAATTGTGCATCGATCCACATTCACCCCCCTCCCCCACACCACTGACTCATCTGTTGCTATATACCAGGGAGAACTCTTCAATGTAATAGAGCACTACCTGGAGAGTACATCCTGCTTTGTCTACAAGGGAGTAAAGGAAATGAGACAGGCCGTTCCATTTCGTCGGTTCACTCGGTCGCAAAGTATCAAGAAAAGATTTAAACAGTGTGCTGGATATTTTGCTAGACTATTAAAGGTATTGGGTCAGTATAGGTCTAGATCTTTGCTGTTTCCGTATAATAATCTGTGCATACTTTCTAGTGTTGTGTGTAATTTTTCAATTTATGGGTCTTTCCGCTTGCTTGACTCATGATTCCTTCTCTCCAACCTTCAACACCCTCTCCCATCCTCCCTCACTCCCTCTCCTCCCTCCAATACCAACCCTATCCACAGTCCCTTCGTGAACCCGATCTCAGCTGGATTTACAAAATTCTTGTTCTTTTGATACTACTCTTGATCCCAATTTTGGCCATTTTCATAATCATACTGATTATCTGTGTGGCACTTTGTTGTACTGACAGTGAATAGCCTAAATGACAGATAATAGCAGCACAAAATTCTTTTAGTGCATAGCCTTTTGCAGTTATATTGGTGTCTATGGTATGATGTATCTTTTTTCATTCGCTGGAAAATTATACAAAATAGAAAACCATTAAAATTTTAAAAAAGTGTTAAAAAGATCTGATTTTCACGGTCCCCAAGTTGGTGAGGTACAGGAACTGGCCGTGTGTGAGACACTCAGGTGGTGGAGTGGAGCTGAAGTTGGTCTGACTTGCGTCCAGTGAAGCTCTTCTGATGGAAGAAGATCGTCAGCTCCGAAGCATAGGGCAGGGCAATGCTGCGGTTCCAATACGGTTCTTCCACTCCTAGCAATTCACGAATCTTCCTCGATATCACCTGTGTGTATGAGCCAGGCATTATCAGCCAGTTTCTGTCTCATTCGAGGGAGGTGAATTGGGACACCTAAAATAATTCTGCACACCAGCTTAGATACCATGTATCTATATTATACACAAGAAGTAATAAAATGAGTCTAACTTGTATATGGCTCCAGTCGGTGATACCCATTCTGGGCAGCGTGGAGCCAGTCACCCACACCAGCTTCCGACCGCTCACCCCGTTGTCCGCGAAACTTTCCTGATCAAGAACGATGCAACATCTGCCTCCATCGAGAATCTACACGACTCACTCTGTATTGGGGGAACCCTGTACTCTCAATCCAATCGCCCACTTTTTCTACACTCCAGTCCAGGCACGCTGGAACCATCGCCATGCTCTCCCCTCGCTTTCTCGACCGACGGCGCGCCGCTTTGATGGTGTGCTCTATTTAGAGTCCGATAAACAGTATCCATGGAAAACACACGCATGCGCAGTTTGGAGGTGACGATTATACACATGCGCGAAGACTGGAAGGCTGAGTAAAAAAGTGTAGAAAAAAAGTACAATTATAATTTTACATTAATGACATCAGAATAATGATACAGATATAAACACACATACACACAAACAAGCAAATAATATTAGTCTCTTGTGGCTCCAGCCATATGCATAATAATATTGATTCAACATGATAATGAGAGGAATCTTTAATACACAGCTGTGCATGTACACGATATACTGACAGTAGTGACGAGAGTGAACATCATGAGAGAGAGGGGGGGAGGAGGAACTCATTGCTGTGTCCTTGGTTACGAGAGGACCTGTTGCCGTGGTGCCAAACAACCACACAAACACATCAGTCGCTGTGGCCCTGCACATATTATGAGGAGGAGGAGATACAGTACGGTGAAACCTCTGAAAAGGACCTTCTGAATTAAATCTGACAGCTCTATCAAGGACACTTGGGTTGCTGTAACCCAGTGTATGTAGAACCTGGCCTTCAGAGTTGGATCTCCAATTAAGGAACACCTCTGAAGAAGGACACTCTCCAAGGTGCCTTATTTAGAGGTGTATCGAACATTTGCCGTTAATGTATGTTTGCCTGCAGGTCGAACAGCTCCGTGCTAGAAAGCACTATAGTCAATTAGTATCAGGCGAAGGCACCTCCTGGGCAGTTATAATATTATAGCACGGCTAAAAGGCCGCAGCATGGAGAATAGATCACTGTTGACACACCAAGTTTCATCCCGTGCCAAAGAGGGTCGAGGCTTACCATCAACCACATCCCACGCAGTTAGTGCTCTCTGCAGTACTATAAGGCTCGAGAGAGAGAGAGGTAACCATTTTTTTAACTCGCAGGATATTTAATTTACTTGTATACTAACATGTTAGGCGAGGTACTCGGAAAACGCATTAAATTCCTCTGGAGGAATTGTAACAAAATATAGTATCCCTTCCATTTCTGTTGTCATTCGTGCAATTTTACTTTTGAGACGCACACACACAGTGTATATAGTCTGCTATCGGGGATTACTTGGAAAAGAGAGTTTGTTAGTCCCAAATGCAAAAGAGGGCATGGGTGCCAAAGGAAGTATGCTGCAACTAAAGAGCTTGAAGCATAACTTTACTTGCAAACGCTTGCAACTGTGCGTATACCACACTTCAAAATGCCAACATTGCTACTGTATATGCAGTGGAACCCATCCATATATACCAAGGGACAGAAGAAAGTGCCCCGAGTTAGAGAGACGTCCTTATTCATTGCACCCAAGAAACTGTTTGTGGAGAAAGAAAAAGTGTCCTTATTAGAGAGGTGTCCTCATTTCAGGTGTATATAATTATGTGTCCTTGGAGAGGGTTCCACTGTATGCTGCAAGAAAGATTGACTTGCGCACAGGTAACACTACATTCACACAAGACATGTACTCTCCCAACCTGTGAAATGAATGTAATACCTGGTTAACGAGCAGGGTCTGAGCCCTGATAATGTCATCGTTGGTGCCACGAGGGAGGGCTATGGTGAGAGGGAGTGAGTTTGTAGGGTTGATCTGGACGCTGTGTAGCCCTTGCAGTTTGCCGTGTGCCTGTAGGGTTGTCAGTATTGCCTGGATGTGGTTGCTACCTGCGAGAGAGAGAGAGAGAGAGAGAGAGAGAGGAGGGAGGGAGGGAAGGAGAGAAGGTTAATGATGTCCTTGTGCTTTTAAAGCCTCTAGACGTCATGGGTGTATTAATGTGATTAATTAATATAAAACACACATCTAATACGTAGCAAAGCTCATAGGAGTGCATGTATTGCAACGTATGACCTCAAATCCACACCGCGTTTCCAGAGTACCGAAAGAAAATAACATTTAGAAGGCATAGTTACATTCATGTAGCATGTTTGCAATATGAGGTATAGACGTTTACCTATGATGGTTGGGATGAAGCCTGCATTGGTGCCTGTGGCTGTTGTGTGAATGTGGGGAGGGCTGTGAGGGTGGGGGAGTGGTAGGTGGAGGGGGAGGAGAGGGGGGAGGAGGAGGAGGAGGGGATGTAGACCTCTCTACTTCCAGGAGCTGACTTTGCCACCGCCATGACAGAGGAAGGAGTCACGGTGTATGTCTGGAGCTGCGATGGAGCGATCGCTGCAGCCGTGACCTTCTGCGAGGGCAACACTGCAAGGATTACATCGTAATGACATCACTATTACATAATCATGACATCGTCACAATAAAACCTTATCCCACAATACCACCTAGGTATGTGAACGCATAGCATAAGTAATCTTAATGCACAGTTAATGTACTGCAAAACATGTGGTGCTAAGTGTGTTTACATACTGTTTCATTTTCCGTTGATGCGTTCACATAATACTACGCATGTTAACAGCGACGAGGTTGCAGACGACGCAACTATACACTCAAGACAAATACTCTGAAAAAGGGGGGCAGTTAAGGAGAAACGAGACCTACGAAGAAAGAAGAACAACTTACTAAAGATGCCACCGGAGGTGTTGGCTAGCTGAATTTGTGTGGGAATACCAGAGTCAGAAGAGGCGTGGACTTGGGAGAGAATGGCCTGCAACAGACGACACGCACAGCAGTACACAACAACTCATCTCAAAAACATTTCACCCAAACGTACACAAACACACAAGCGTGCGTGCGTGTGAGTAAAAAGTAAAAAACAACTCTGGTTCCGCATTGTATACACTTTTAAAACCCTGGCTATACACGGTTTGTTATAAACTGTCCATTTGGGCTGGTGTTATCGCAAGCGCTATCAGGTTCTGGGACTGAGGCTAATGCAGGCCCAGAATGTGTGTAACAAACAGCATTGATTGACTGGCATATCTAACATGAAAGTAAACGACTTCATTCCAAAAGGAGCGGTTGGAAAACAGATTTGGTAAATCAGGACGCATGTTGCGCTCCCCGTCGGTATTAGTAAGACATGAGTTTACAGGTTAACAAGCTACCTCGGAATAATACACATTTTTTTGCTTTCCTGCTTTGCTTTTCTAGTGGGGGAACCTCTTTCTAAGGACACCCCTATAATGGACACCTGTCTAAGACACCTCTCTAATACGGACACCTTTTCTTCAACATTTCTTGCATGCAAATTTAACCCCTAATGTTAGGAGACGCCACTAATATGGACACTTTATTCTGTCCCGTTGATTGGATATACCACTACACTGCGGAGGCTTACGCGTTCTTACGTCACAGTGACGTTTAGTCTGGGCTCGAGAGTTTAGCTGAAGTCCTAGTGGTGCACACACACACACACACGCAACTAGACACAAGTTCTCTGTGTCTCATGCCAAGCTCCCAAAACATTCATATCACCAGCATGGTTAAAGCAGTTATAGTTTCTGTGCATGGGAACATTGTATTGCAGAGAGAGGGAGGAGAAGGAAGGAGAGGGAGGAGAAGGAGGAGAGGGAGGAGAGGGAAGAGAAGGAAGGAGAGGGAGGAGAAGGGAGAAAGTGAGGGGAAGGTGACGGAGAAAGAGAGTGAGAGAGGGAAGAGAAGAGAAGAGGAAGATGGAGAGGAGGAGAGACAAGTGGAAGGAGAGAAGGACAGAATGCAAGAGAAGACAAATCTATACCTGGAGTTGAGAGGGTTGGATAAGGGCCGCTGGGGATACCCTCGGGAGTGAAGGCAAAAGTCTGGAGAGGAGGGGGAGCCGACGAGGGTTGAGACACACCAGTCAGCGAAGTACCAGGAGCCAGCACTAATGGTGTGTGTGTGTGTGTGTTATGAATTCACATGTAGGTGGACTATATGAGACATTGAAATACATTAGGTCGCAAGGAAGATATGGTTTTACCAAAAATGCCCTCTCTAAAGAACTGAAAAAAGCAGTGATAAGTACACAAACCAAACAAGAAACAAAAGTCGTACTCAAACGTTGCCGTAAGATCGAACACCACTTTTTAAATGTTTTAAAAAAAATATTTTGCCAATAAAAGTGACTTTAAGGCATTTATGCGCAATTTACTAAACACAACAGCGTAAATGGCACGGTTTGGTGCTATTATAATACAGGTAAGCCAGCCAACTGTGTGTTTTGTAGCCACACTGTTTGGATGCAAAAGATAGGGAATCAAACGTGCAGAAAGGCTGTTGAATAATAATATAGTGAAATCTCCGAAGAAGGACCCTCCGAATAAAGGATGCCTCTGTATTACTTAGTTCTGCCCCATACTAATACCCAAATAAGGGACACTTTTGAACGAAGGACAATTTCAACCTCCGCAAGGTGTCCCTTAGTCAGAGGTCTCACTGTATGTATACTATGTATGTATACTATGACTGTATATACCAGAAGCTCTGGGCAATGTGATGGCGGTCAGAGGTAGAGTGGATCTGCTGGAGTTGCTCCCCAGGTGGACTGCCGAACCAGCACTAGTCACCGTCTGCACCGGTTGGACGTGGCTGACCAGGGCCTGCAGTGCAGTGGGTGTGGCCAGCCTGTCCTCATTCCGTTCCAGGTCCAAGGTATGGGAATAGGACTGGGTGGGTGTGGTTGGAGTGGCGGCGCGAAGGAGAGTCGGTAGCCCGTGGGTAAAGATGGCACCCCCGTGACCCATTGTTAGTGCTGCAAACAGATTTTCACCATAGTTTTCCAATGAAAGGCTACGTTTTAGTTGTTTCGGGGGTTAATTTATTCTGAAAGGTCCTTATTAGAGTGGTGGTCTAATTTCAGCTATAATGTAAAATCCAATAAGGGACCCTCTGAGATAGGGACAACTTCTCTACAAAGGACATTATTTTGTTCAACTCCATGCTAGTATATACTTTAGTGATTTGACCCCCGAGATAGGGACGACCTCTCTATATACTAGGGATGAGATTGTCGGCCCCATAGTGTCCCTTGTTCGGAGGTTCCACTGTACGTATACCTCTGGTTGGAGAGGGGGTGGAGAGACCCTTCCTCCTGTTGGTGAACCAGGTATTGACCCTCTGTTCGGTGATTCCTTCAGTGTCTCCCTCTGGTCCTCTGATGGGAGACCCGTTGTTCATTGTCAGCTCCGCCTCGTTGCATAACTTGGCCAGTTCGACTCTCTGCTCCCGCGTGGGGAAATGGTTCTGTGTGTGCGTGTGTACGTGTGAGGGAGGGAGAGGAGGAGGAGAGAGAGAGGGAAAGAGAAAGGAGGGGGAGGAAAAGGAAGAGAGAGAGAGAGGCGGAGAGAAAAGAGGAAAGGGTGAAAGGAGAGAGGGAAAAGCTTTGACCGTATTATAATCGCACCACAGCTACTGTAAATCCTGGCACTGGAGATACAACGAAATATCCTCAAAAACCGTATTGCATTACTAGCCCTCCCACAACTGAGAGCTAGCCAGTAATTGAAACAAAGTGACTCGAAAGGGGTTCAGTTGGGTCATCCGTTACTCAAATCCATCCTAGTTACTACCGCAGCAGCTGGCGTGTGGCTTCCAGTCAATAAGGATAATCAACATAACATGTAATTCTGCAATTCTTGCACGATTGTGTGTCAGGTTATGCTACTGTTTATGGGATTCCGCGCACAATGCTTTGAATGTCAGAAAAGTACAGAAGTGCCTGGTGTTACCAGCTGAAATTACAGGTTCCTCGTCACTCAGATTCCCTTCATCCTTAGAGTAACTATGCTTCATCGTTACAACCAGCGTTTTGCAGATTCACTATCTACGAGTGACGGGTACGAGCGTGCGGCCTGTTGCCTCACTCTTTTACCACCCGTACTATGTAGCCATTACGTAATGTTACCTATATAGTTGCCATTCGTATAAGAAATTAATAGTTGATGCACGTGTAAAAAAAAGATCTGAGACTCAGTCCAGATTCAGAGAAAATGAGCACTGTCACATGCAAGGCTGGTAGTGCTACACTCTCGTTCTCCCCTTTTCTAACTTCCACTCCCCCCCTCCCTCTCTTCTCTGCCCCTCTCTCACCCTCTTCACTTTGTTTATTATTACACTCCGTCCCTTCTCCCCCCTCATCCTTTCTCTCTCTCTTCCCTCTCCATCCCTCCTCACCTTCTTGAATGCCTCCGACAAGATCTGAGTGGAAATGGGTGACCACTTCCAGCGAGGCCGCCTCCGACTACCTTCGACCTTTGGACTCTCCAGAACAGAGTTCAGAGCGCTGTCTGCAGTACTCGACTCTGCAAAAGTGCAAGAAAACGGCCACAAAATGAGACTCTTAGCCAGTGTCCGGAATTGGAGGATTATACCCAGGCCCCCTTCACAATATGGCGCATTGCCTCGTCGCTCCGTGCCGTGCCACATCCTGCCGCAAAGATAGAAATAGAGTCTATCCTCGCCGCGCGGCAACGCAGCACGGCACGACAGGCCAATGCGACATATTATAGTGAACCTAGTCTTAGGGATACGCATCATTATGTGTGAATTACGTATGTATGTATAATTATTGATGCTTGAAAATCTGCATAAAGTGTGAGAAGTGCGGAATAAGCCTCTATTCCAGTTTGGTTTTTCCAGAGCATCAGTCCTCCTCGCGGCTGTTAATTAGCAGGTAAATATAAAAATATTATACAAACAGGCAAAAGTGCACGAGTGTGCATGATAGACGTTTAGCACTTTTGAGTTTGCCGGAATGTGTGAGCGTGTTCAACTGATCCTGCCAGCAAGGGACCTGTAGCAACCCATAGTCCCAGTTCAAGTCGGCATTCACGTCTTCGTGGTGGGAACGCAATCAGCAAACGCTTTGGGTCCGTTAACCCTGATTAGTACGTGACACTGATGATTGTAAGGAGTTACGCAACTGACCGTCGACCATAGAAGTTTAATTACCGGTCGTCTCACTGAATGGCACATAGACACAAGCGTGCAGATTCTCACTGTCTTGGTGTGAAAGGAGTGTGGGGAGAGAGTTAAGTTAACGCTCTATATACAGATAACCATTGAGACGTTTAAAAGGGAGCTATTCGAAGGCACTTGTACAGTTTCAGCATTTGCACGAGTTTGCGTTTCGTTCTGGTCGTGTTGTATCCCTTTCACCCGCACACACACATCACTACATGCAACAAACACAGTCACACCACACAGGAAGTAATGTACTCATTATGGCTGCATCATGTTGGTGGTGTCCCCCATCTCTTGTATGTATATATAAGTGTTGTAAGGTATTTGTAAAACACCTCATGTGTGTGTGGTGTGTGCAAATTCTTGTCCGTGTCTGTGTGTGAATATTACCATGATGGATGCAGTGATTTTTTAGTTCTTTCTTCCTGGTAGTTTGCTCTATACACATACACTAGGTAACTGTGGTTGTGGGTTAACAATCTCTTGGCTCAGTTTACAGGATGAAGCCACTCTATTGGCAATAACCAGTGGCACCAAAGGTCTGTGTTAGGCCTTTGTCTCCCTGGCTTGTGCACCAGGCCAAAACGGGGTCCACCACGTGGGACCACGCTGTCATCAAGAGTGAGTTGGTAAAAGAGCGGCTAATTGACATTTGGACTCATTTTCCACCGTCAAAGTGCCCGTCGGCTCGACAAACCATTTGGCCATTTTTTCTCTAATGGCGCAGGGTGACCGCACAAATACCCCCCGTCGAGCTCACTGACCACACTACACAGTCGTGGTTAATGGAGAGTGGCTTTAAGACACGCAACACAAAGGAGGCTCTACTACTTTGAAGGACATTTCATAGTCAATACGCCAGAGCACGACAGGGGCGCACGCTAATATACTACTGGTGCCCATGGAGTGTGTACTACTGCAGAGGCAGCTAATATAATGAAACACAAAGGCTTTACTCCGTTGCTACAAACTGACAAATCATTCCATCTGCTCCATGTTTCGTTAAGATATACCAGGTAGTAAATAGTTAATAAATCCAACGCGTGCAAAACTTTCAGTTACGTACTGGCGGTTGACGTGCACTCGTTTTGTGCGTTATAAGCCAGAAACGAGGAAGCCCCGTGTCGTTAAAACTCGGGGAAAAGTTTAAACCCTGCGCCCGTGATGCTGCCTATTATGCAATGTTACGCAGAGGCTCCAACAAACCGCGAGACATCTATCCATTCATACTGTGCCCTCCTGCTGCTGTGTTGACACAACACGCACTCCACTGCCGCTCACTTCAAATGGCTCGTGAAAGAGTTGACGATTAAGCTTTCACATTTTGCCCGCTTGAACAAACGCAAACATTTTACGCCTAACTTTTCAATTAAAAGCACTCCGTGGGACCTGTTTTTCACAATGCATATCTACAAACTGAAAGTAAACAGCGCCACAGAAAGTTAAACGACAAACAACAGTAAATGTAAACATAATTACAGCTTTAATAGTTGTTGACATGACAAAGTGCGGGCACTGTTTCATTTTTAGTAGCAGGTGGCGATGCAGTAAAAGTTAAATGACAACAACTCTCAAGGACAGTGTAAACCTTGTTACTGCGGTAACGTAATGAAAACGATAATATAACCGATTATAGGGACTAGTTAATATCCACAAAGGTACCAGAAGGGATGGCATAATGTTCCATTATCATGTAACACATTTTTCCTGAGTATAATGTATTATCTACAGCGACACGAGGACAATACATGAAATAGATTTACTACAACGAATATGGAAAAGCAAAACTGTCTGTAAGATTATGGTGTGCGTAGTGACCACACATAAAAAGACAAAAAACGCGACTCAGTAGGGCGAGGCTCACTTTGCCCTGTCCGTCAATTAACGAAGCAATTCACTGGCGATTTTCTAAAGCGACTTTGAAAGCAAAGAAGTGGTTTTTTGGTTGCTCGTAAGTTAACGAAAAATTTGAAACTTGCCAACTGTATCACGATTGGAATGGTGTATGTATAGTCTGTGACAGAGTTTGGTAAATCTATCCATGTCTGAACAGAAAAGGCATGTACCACTATTTACTTGTTGTACAGAGTTGGTATATACTTAGGGACTTTCCGTATTGAATGGGAATGTGAAATGTAACGTATGCTTAATTTCCCAACACGAATGCAATGCATAGTGGGTTGTGGAGTATTTCATGTTGTGCGCACACCTGTATTTCTTTTGGACTCGGTTTGCTAGTCCTGTTCGCAGGAGACCAAATTATTGCAAGTTTTAATTCACAGTCAAGAGCATTCCCAAAACAAAACGGTGCTGTGGCAGCGGAATCCTCGACCTCCACTAAGTCCTTGCCACAATGAACCCATATCTCCCCCAAACAATCTGGGGACATGGTGGGAAGAGATAAAGGGAAGCCGGGGTCTCTTGGCATCGACCTCCCTGGGAAGACCAGCAAGCAACTCATTCATTCACACCGACTGCTACACATAGCAGTATCGTGGGATAGTCTCAGGCTCTCAGCTTTACCACAGGTGTTGAGATTTTATACATATACACAACACGAACGCACGACTCTGCGCGTGTGTGGCTGCAGCCGGCCGGGCGGATAGACGTAAGTGAGCGAAAGTGATTTTTTATCACTCAAAGTACCGCTTTACTTACGTACTGGCTACGGTTTTTGAGTGTTTGCAGGGCTAACACAGTTTGTTGCAATTCGTGGTACTGAAATGACCCACCACGTGCGTCTGAACCTGAGCATCGGTCTGTAAACAGTTCTTTTTTGGCTCAGATTGGGGCTAATTGAAGGCAATAATTACATCAGGGATTTAGTAATACTCTAACTGATTAGTCGTAATTCAGCTGATCCTTGAGGGTTTCGGCAGACGTTAGGAAAAATCCTTTGCAATTTAGCCGAGACACCAACAGTGTTTCCACAAAATATTCCCTGAAACAACTAGGAATGCTTTTGTTGTTGGTTATGGAGTCCAGCACTCACTGACAGATCGCCCACGTGAAAAGTTGTCTTTAAGTGATTTAAGAAAGTACATATTATTCTTCATAGCAAAGACTTCAGTTATTATGTCACCACTAAATAATTTCAAACGGGGGAAGAAATATTGCAGCATGTCCGAGTGTAGCTATTTACATAGCTGATTAAAAGAGAGTAAGGCGTTCAAAGCCACATGGTTACTAGAAATTCCTGTCCTTTTTTTGGCTATCTAAAAATCAGATAAGTGTGGTACAAATTAGAGAGGACAATGAAATACTCCCTCAAAAGTTAACCCAACAAATTGGTTCACAAAAGGTGGAGCCTGATCCCCTCCCACGCAGATGTGTAGGAAAATTGCTCGGCCAAAAATATTTCTTACATAAGAATAATTCCCACTGGCTTATTAGGAAGAATGACCACAAAAAGGATGGTTTTTGTTAGTATTGTTTGACAAGGAAACCCTTTGACAAACAAACAGTTACCTTGTTTGACTGATAAAGGAATGAAAGTTTTACACGTAAACTTTAACATCTGCAGCGCTGCCTAATACATCGCTAATGCAACTTCTTTGTGCAAAGTGCCTCAATGTAACAGAGCCTAATATATACAACAGTCTTTATGTGAGGTATATATATATATATACACCCCAACATCTGCAGCACTGCCTAATGCTTCGCTAATGCAACTTTCTTTGTGCGAGGTGCAGTGTACATTCAACCAACGCGGTGATTGGGTTAGCTCCCCGACAAACAGGGAAAAGCATAATTAGAGTCCTGGCTTGTCTGCATGAAAGGGTCGACCACCTGAAAGCCTCTGACGTATTAGCGGTGAATTGTAGGGGCAAGACCATACATACATACATTCATCTACTGCACAGTGCATTGACTAGCACAGATAAAGGATGGATGGCAGTGAATGGACAATGTTTGGGGTCTTTAGTTAGTCTCTTTAGAAATACTACACTCAGTGATGAAAAAGACAGCCTCTCAGTTTGCACAGACTTGACGTCGTCGCTGGACTAGACTGTGTGTGTGTGTGTGTGTGCAGGACATTCAGGAAACGGTGCCACCCAAACCACATCACAGCCCAGAGTTATTGAGAGAGAAAATGCTCAATTGTCTTTATGCTATTCAATGCCCTGCCTGCTAACCTAGTGTAGTGCCTTTCCTCGAGACCGCCCTTCATTTTCCAAGAAATGACCGTTTTTCTTTTGTCCGTGCATGTGACATCATTAATGGAATGCGTAACTACACGCTCGAGATTTGCATAGAAAAAATTCATCAGCTCAACAGTGCCTAGATGTGTACATTTTGCTGCTTGAGCAAAAGCACTGTATTTTGCAAAGAGCATACACAACCAGGAGTGAATAACAACTTTGACCCTTATTTGCCCAAATTGTGGAAAATCAGAAATAGTTGGCGGTGTTTACGTGCAAAGAGATTAGAGTGAAAAAGAGAGTGAGAGTGCCTATAATGCCCGATGAACTCACTTCCTGTACGTATTCTCTGATCGTCTTCGAACCAGTGGTACAGTTTGACGCGTTTCGAGCGTTTCATTGTCACCCCGTGGAGAAAGTGCTGCGATAAGTGGCTCTGGTTGAGTCCCGTCTTCTCCACCACCTCACGCTGCGGCACAGAATACTGGTTCATGTACTTCTTGATGGCATGGGCCACTACTGTCTGGTCGCGACTTTAGTAGAAGGAGAGAGAGAGAGAGAGAGAGAGAGAGGGAGGAGAGAGTAAAGGAGATATTGATGACAGAGTCACAGTGTTGAAATGCACATCATCTGCTATGTCTATCAGGACCATTAATCAATTAACCAATTAACAATAATGCATTATGGTTATTGTAACTCCAGGGCACTCTAATGCTCAGTTGTAACTGAATTATTTCCCAGGCACACAATGGCTCAATAATGGGCCAATAGTTGCTGGGCTGTTGGAAACACAAAAGATCATGTGAAAGCATGAAACTATACACAGTTCTTCCTTTCCTTCTATCAGTGCATTATAGGCAAACACAGGTATATAAGAATGCAAAGACTGCCCTGAACCGATTGATTACCCAACCCTATGATGCAAGTGCACCCTACAATTTCCACTAATGGTTGCTGCTATTTGGAAAGCTGACAACATGCCGTAATATGTTGTATCGAAGCGCAGAAATCTCGGCATTTTCACGAGAAATCGATGCAGGTGCATGAAAAGAAGAAAACACACAAAACTTACTCTAAAAGTTCTTGGACAAATGGTGAGGGCTGCAGGAGCTCATCCTCAAGGGAGAAATCTCCACGTCTCTTCTGGCCGATCTCTGGGTGCGTGGACGATGCCTCGTAGACTCGAAGAGCACTCTGCACCAGTGTCTGCATCTTGTCCACCTCCTCTTTCTCTTCGAGAGGGCTGGAATCACTCAGACTACCCTGCCTATGTATGCCACCGCCTGTCCCGTTTTGCTTAGTCCACAGCTGAGCCTCCACCCGCCGCGACTTGACGGGCTCTCCGTCTTGTTCCTCTTCTTCCTCCGTCTGCTGCAACCCCTCCTCCTCGCCTTCTTCCTCGACATCCATGGCTGCACTCTCGCCACTACCAGCTTCGGAATCGCCGACGACCGTCGCATCAAGCTCGCTGCCGGTCAGTGCACCGTTCACACTCCGTTTTCTGGCCTCTGCGATCGCTCCGTTCGCTATTGGGTGCTCAGCGAGCCTTTTCTGCTGCTGCTCGTGCAGCTCCGGCTCCCCTCCTTCCACTGCGGCAGTAAACTTCGTGGCAGCACCGTTCCTTTCCACGCGCACCCCGCGTCCGTCTCCCTCTTGCAAGCACTCGTCGTAGGCAGACACGAGATCTTCCCGCGAGAGCCCGAACCGCTCCACGAGGCTGCGCAAAGTCCGCTTTACCTCGTATTTCGCCGAGCCCAGGTCCTCCCGCTCCTGCTGCGAGCACCCGTTTGCCTCACCTCGGATGCAAAACGCTGCTTCTTGCTCGCTCGGCGCGTCGGCGGCTTGCTCGCTGATCGTCGTATTTTCCATCGCAAAAATTAACTTTAATAATAGTTTATTACAGAACCACTGAGGAGCCACGGTAACATAGCCAGTCCTTGCTTCTTCTCGGATGAGGAGATAGCGAGCAGTCCCGCAATTATTATGCTCCGCGCGGCGGCCGTCTTATCTCGACCTCGCTCGCGCTCAATTGTTCTAATTTAGCGAAACACCACCGTGAATAACGGGGTTGCCGCTGCAGATTTTTATTCTTGGCCCCCACAGTGGGAGGGTAGATGCATTATGATGCCATCTGTGTCTGTGCCCTTGCAGTTCATGGGGCTTTGTGATTTTTATAAACAGGTTTCGCTAGATTCAGCGGTAGTGTGTATCAGTTGGCTAATGGGTAATTTATGCCGCATTTAGTAGGTCGATCATTATGTTGCCGACACTATGCGTGGAATATTATTATCTAGCTATACACAGTAGGCCAATCATTAGCAAATAACTTCGAGTCGCGGCAATTAGGTTTATTTTGCAACAAATAGCAGGGCGAGAGCCGTACGCGAGGCATTGCAGTTGCGCCGCTCATTAGAAACCTTTGCCCCGAGCATATTTCGTGCGCGATTGGATGTACGCTCAGGTTTCTATGTGCAGTCAAATGCGCTTGCTCTTGCAGACCTTCTGTTGTTGGTTTCTACATACCGCGGTGAAAATCCGCACGCTGCGAATCAATGCGCATGCGTGACTCTAATTTAGCGGTGTGAAATATCATATCGCAGGGCAGAGGAGCAGATGACCTTCCTCCTGGTGCACGCTTTCCTTTGTGCTTCAGCAACCGCAGTCAGCAGCTACGCCCTCTATGTCGAGCACTCTAACGCCAGAGACGACGACTATGAAGCCATGTGCGACTTGGGCCCGCAGATGTCCTGCTCTAGCGTCCTCACCTCCAGGTGAGCTAATAATTTCCGGTGGCAAAACAATTTGTGGCTATATTCGGCAGATACGGCAGGGGGTTCGGCGTTCTGGGCGACTTGTTAGGAGACGAGCACCCGTTGAACGTGAACAACGCAGTCTATGGAATTCTTTTCTATGCTTGTATTGCCCTGTTAGGTATGGAATGAGTGGGGGCGTCTCTGGCTGTGCTTACACTTTGCAACCCTCTCCCCCCCCTTCCCCCGCCTCTCACACACACACACACACACACACACACACACCACAAATCATCAAGGATTTCTAGGCTCCAAAAGGGTCATGCTGCCTGTGATAATCGCAGGTGAGCTAGTAGGTGCGGCTGACTTCATCTACCTGGCATACATCATGGCCTACGTACTGAATGACACGTGTCTAGTTTGCATCGCTCTTTACTCTCTACATTTTTTGCTGATCGTGCTACACGTCTACCAATACTGCAACACTATGAACTACGAAAAACAGAATAAAAAAACAAAATAGTTGATCAATAAGATGTTTCTCTATCACTATTATGTTTTCACAATTGTATTATAAGAGTTAATTAATTGTTAAAAAAGATGATTGATCAGTCATGGATGGACGTGGCATGGATATACGGGATTATTGGAAAAACCAGACGCTGTCCATACGAACACGACCTACTCTTTTAGCAGCCAGATACACATGAGTCACAGCATACCCTGAGTATATAGTGCGTGGGGGGGGCAGGCACAGCTTCAGTTGTATTTACTAACAATGCATCAAGCTTCTGTAACACCAACCATTGATAATTAAGTGGAACCCTTCCAATATTACTGTGGTTCCACTATAATTATATACCACTCCTCTATGCAATACATGGTAAACGATCTACCTTAGCCTAGAGACCAGAACTTGCTAAGCGTATGCAGAAATTACCACTTGGAATGAACAGTAGCACTCCAATAATCATGAGAATGAAACCACGAACAACCGCGTCGGTACCTGCACGAAAACAAACCGTTTGAACATTGTTTGAGCTCCTACTACTGTGAAATAGTAGTAACTGGGGTAATAACTCAGGTCATGTTTGGAACTTGTGATCTTTCTGACTTCCAAGTGCAGGCATGTATGTGAAACTAAAGTAACTACTCGCACTGGCTTCTTAAAGAAGATATGCAAACACGTGGAATATCTCAGAAGCCAGTGACCATTCCTATACCATAGACAAGGGTCCTATATATCACAGATAGAGATGCTACCAGGGCAGTTACTGCCCTTCTCACGTCTACTATTGTAAGCTTCATTTTGAAGTGACGTGCAGGTACTGTTTGTATGGGAAATGCGTGCACAGTCAATCACTACATTTGGCCATCTCGCCAGCATTTTATCCAATTAGGCCGAGCAAGTGTAACCACTCTCTGCCCTTCGGATGCATTACAATCCTTGTCACTGAAACGATAACCTTGTTCAAGTGAAGTGCAGTGCCCTGGTTAACTATACCAGGAAAACAAGAGTCGCTAATTACCTTTTGTCATTATTGCAAGTCGGCTTTGCGAAAGTGGTGCATACATATGTACAGTGAAATGGTGAAAGGAGTCGAAGAACTCGCATGCCTTTGTGCAAGTGACTGCATGTGGGCAATTATGCAGTTTCAACAGGGGTAGCTGTACTAAGTAATTGAATAAGGGACGGAAATGCCTTTGCTCTAAGGTTGCAGCAAACAATTATGTGCCACACCAAAATACGACCACCACTCTGTTATCTAATACAATGCGCTATATACCATTAGCAATTTACCTGTATGGTATAGAATTTCTAACACAATCCCGGCTCCAAAGCAAACTAAATGAGCAAAACAGAATTGCGATGCATTATGCAACGTTGAGTGATAGTGACTTACCGATACTGAGGCAGAGGAGAAACCAAGCTCCTAGTACCACCAGGCAGTTCTTCTTGACTTCCTCATGCTGGAACCACCTGTATATATACACATTGTTTTCACACAATGTCGGTTGCAAATAAGCCGAGTTCTTGTTCTTCTGTGCAAATGTGGCCGCTGACGGCTCTCAAACTCGCAGAATTTTGAAAATTAGAGTAGTTTGCATGTGTTTGACCAACTCCTTCTTCCCCCTCCCCCCTCTTTGCCACTCGCTGCTAACATACAGGACACCTGCCCTTCCTTAATTGGTAATGATTACATTCTTATCAGATTAGTGCTAGATCGAATGGCAACATTACTATAAACACGCTACTCCATAGGCTAAATTAGCACCTGTCATCATTAAAAGCACTGCCCTTCCACTCTCATTAAAACACGAATAGCCATGTACCATTTTGGCGGTAGTTTGGAACGAGCCGGCTGCCAGGCAGCGCGCGCCCCAGCGTGTGATGAATCGTCATCACTCTCGTCGGAAGGCAACAAGTCTTCCTGGATGCAGGGCGTGTAGACATGTAGGAACGTTACACACACTGACAAACGGGGGAGAATATATACTGTTTACCGCTTCTCGGGACATCTGTCGATAGTTGAAGTCTTAGTCGCTGCTGTTCCGTCTCAGAGGACGTCGTCTCACGCCACGGTCAACAAACGCAGAGTGTTTGCTGACGTTGCAAATTGTGGTACAAAGGTCATCCACGTGGGCGTTCCCTACTCTTCAGCTCTCGATCTCCATCTTCTCTTGTTCTGCTTAGCTATTGCTGCCGCACGGTGCGGATGAGAGATGGCTCTTAGAGGTCTTAGAGTCGTGGAAATGGCTGGACTGGCGCCTGCTCCACTTGCCGGCATGATACTAGCTGGTGAGATCGCGCGTCTCTTTTCCACCCACTCCAACCTAACAGCTTTCTCTCCAAGATTTCGGTGCGTCGGTTATACGCGTGGATAAGACCAACCAACCATCCGTAGTCCTGGATACATTAGCAAGGTGTAACATTGAAGAGCGCTTTAGTAATACTAAGCTTCCTATATACCCACTGCAGAAACAAGCGCTCCATTGCAGTCAACCTGAAGCAGAGGGCGGGCGTGGAGATAGTGCAGGACCTGTGCACGACGGCAGACGTCCTCCTCGAGCCGTACAGACCAGGAGTGATGGAGAAGCTGGGGCTGGGGCCGCAGGTCTGCCTGGCACGCAACCCTCGACTGGTGTACGCCAGATTGACAGGGTTTGGGCAGACGGGCTCCCTGGCCCACAGGGCTGGCCACGACATTAACTACCTGGCCATTTCTGGTGTTCTGTCGGTGAGTTTCTGTGCCTGGGCCTCTCGACTAGCTCTGTTCTGACTTTGCTCTTACTTTATAGCATTTCGATTTGGCCAATGTGTATTTTCTCGAGATTGTCTGTTTTCGATGTAGTGTATTGTCAATGTACCAGTTAATTACTCATGCTCTTTGAGGCTTATTGTATGTTATTCTGTTCTAGATGCTTGGCAGGAAAGAGAGCAACCCAGTCCCTCCAATCAACCTGGTAATGAAGAGGGTAGACCTCTCAACCGAAATAATTGATATCATTTCCAGTTGGCAGATTTTGCTGGCGGAAGTCTTGTGTGCGTGGTCGGGATTCTAATGGCACTGCTGGAAAGAACGTTCTCAGTATATATGCAAGCCTGCAAGCCAGACTTTTATTGCTGTGTGTTCTCCAGAACAAAGGTCAGGTGGTGGATTCAGCGATGGTGGACGGTGTGGCTTATCTTAGCTCTTTTCTCCTCAACACGCAAAAGATAGGGATTTGGACAGGTCACTGCACTACCTATGTCAGTGAATGATGTTGTCCAGTTTGTATTATACATCTGTCTGTCCAAGTCTGTCAATTTCTCTGGGTCCATAGGTGATAGAGGAAGCAATATGCTGGACAGTGGAGCTCACTTCTATGATACGTGAGTCCATACTTCTCACAAGAGTAGAGAACTAACCGAGATGGAAAATTAATGGATAACCGTGTGTTGTTTAGGTATCGCACTTCAGATGGGAAGTATATGTCTGTTGGTGCCCTAGAGCCACAGTTCTACCAGTGAGAATTAGCTCTCTCGCCAATTATTTAGTCAGAATATCCTATACTGTTTTTTTATTTTATGCAGGGCACTGTTGGAAGGGTTGGGTATTTCAGATGAAGACCTTCCCCCACAGATGGACTACACAACTTGGGTCTGTGCACATTATTATTATTATGACGTAGTGGAGCATTTTCAAAGGAGATTGCGAGAGAAAAGTGTGCACACAGAAAATTAGGACACCTGTTCACAACATGGCTTTCACCCATTAGAGTTGCCTGCACTACAGTAGTATATATATATATAGCTTGGCTTGCAACAATATTATGACACTGGTGAAATCCGCAGCCCAGCATGAAGGAGAGATTCGGAGCACTGTTTGCTACCAAGACACAGGCACAATGGACAGCCATATTCAGAGGTATATATGCACATTCACAAAGCATTGAGACTATAGTATAATTATGAGTACGATCTGCTGTAGACGTTGATGCTTGTGTGGAGCCAGTTCTTTCAATGGAAGAGGCTGCAGCACATCCTCATAACAGGTCTTTTCACTATTTTAGTCCTAGTTGGGTGACATCAGTATAATATACCAATAGTGCGACTTGTGTTTTTTGCTGCATAGGCAAAGGAGCATCCACATGCATCACAGGGAAGGAAACTTTGAGTCAAGTAAGCTCTCTCTCTCCCTCTCTCTCTCTGGAGTAAAGGTGCCGACAATCTCTTCCAAACACCACACTAGTGCCAGCTCCAAAGCTAGACAGAACCCCAGCCAGCCCAGGTATATACACCTTCATGTAATAATGTGCTATTGTTATAGCGTGGAGACTTGGAACTGTTTCCAGGGAGCTTTGCCCAGCCTGAGGTGGGGCAGCACACTGTGGAGATCCTGAAAGAGTTGAATTGTTCCAACAAGGTCTGTGGGTTTATTGACGCGAAAACATTAGTGTTTAACTGTACAGAGGGATTAAAATTTTAAGGGGGATTCTTCACAGAGAAAGTTTATTGCTTGTCTATACAAGTGGTGCCATGAACTGGAGTATAATACTTTTGCAAGAGTTTTCCTGAATGTGTTCCCACACTGATGTATGCAGCAACCAGTCAATGAAATCTTTTGAACAGGTAGTGGAGGAGCTACTTGCTTCAAATACAGTGTTCCAGAGCAAGTCCAGAGCGAACCTATAGCCTACGTTTATAGCACCATTCACCGTCTCAGAATCAGTGTAATAGGTGATATTGTACAGAAAATAAAAAAGATCAAAGAGAAACACAAAATTGTATATACAGTGGGATGGCAGTGTGCAGCAGACAAGCTTTGCATTGCAATGTGCTAGAGATAAATATTATAGCTCCCCTCCAATGATACACGGCCACAGTGCTCTGGTGAAGTGTAAAAACACATACCACCTTTTTGCTGGCAAGGCAAACGACTAGTACCCAGGTTGCCTTAGTCTTCTAATGAGTCGAACGTCCCGAGGCATGAGTGTGACTCGGCGGGCGTGCACGGAGCAGAGGTAGGCGTCCGAGAGAAGATGGACCAGGTAGGCCTCGGACGCCTCCTGTAGGCACTCTATCGCCGCCTTCTGCCACCTGAACTCCATCCCCGCAGGGTGACGGAGGAGAAGTATCTCTCGCACCAGCCGCGCGAATGGCGCCTTCCGGATGAGGAGGTTCGTGGAGCGCTGGTAGTGCCGTATCTCCTTCAGCGCCAGGACCCCCGGTCGATGCCTCGCTCTGGCCGGAGTCGCCTGCTTCCGAGACCGAGACCTGCCGGACGGTGTTGTCGCGCCAGCGACCTGGTACACAGTGGACATGACACGCCCCGGTAACAAACGGTCTAGCTTCAGAGTTACCTGTGTTCCCCTGGTCATGGCTTTTCCCGTAGAGTGCCTTGTTCTTTCCGGATCTCTTCCTTCCTCTCAGAGCTTCTACTTTCTCTCGCTCACGGCGTCAGAAACTCTGGTAACACCCAACCGCCGCCATCTTTTCTGGATGGACGCGACCCTAACCGACCAATCAGATTACCGGCTTATCGCGCCAACCGGCGCTCAAGCAACAAAATTAAAAGCGCATACGCACACTGCGGAGCGGAATATGTACAACGACAATGTAAAGTATTGTAAAGAAATTGAAGACAGTGCAATAGGAAGTTCTTGTCGTGGCGTAAATCTAATCAGACTCTTCTTCACTCGAACCACCATCTCCTGCAAAATTATGTCTCAATTTTTACAGACACCTATTGGGTAGCTAATTACCAGGAGCTTCCTGATCTCCACTGGACTCATCATTACTAATGTACTCTGCACTAGTGAACTTCTTCACTTTCCCTCCGCCCTTTGAACTCTTGCTTGCTGGTGCCTTGGCCGCCTTGGCCGCCTTGGCCGCCTTCTTGGGGGACCTGAGGAAAACGAAATAAAATTCCAGTAGTGGGCGGGGCCAGACATGCCTTAACTGGCCACACCCCCTCAGTGTGTGACTCACTTTGATGGAGACGAAGACTGTTTGGCCTTGTACTCCTGCATGACACGGTCGTAGTTCTTTCTGGCCTGCTTTGCTTTCGCCTCCCACTCCTGTGGTTTGAAGGGGGTGGGGCCAGTCATGTGATAGTCACATGATATACCACACAACAGCTTGCTCTATAGTGAGCCAGCAATGACACCACTGTAGCAGGGAAAATATTTCTTACCCACACTTCAATTTTACACAGTTCCATTTCAGGGCAACACACAAAATAATATGGAAAAAAAGACTTTCCCAATACAATTTCCGACCGTGACAGTAAAAAAGGCTCACAGATTTGTCGTCAAGTGCCTTCCACAGCTCTCCGGCCCTCTTCCCAATCTCCCCGAGACTGGCCCCGGGGTTTTCTCGTTTTATCATCGGGCGGTTCTCCTGCAGCCACAGCATGTAGGCAGAGAGGGGCTTCTTCGGAGCATTGGGGTCCTTTTTTGCCTTCTTCTTACGTCCAGTGTCCTGGTTGAGTTACAGGTATATACGTACATTAACTTATCTAGCAAAGAGCGTTTGTGGATCGTCTAAAAGCAAAGTTTGACAAACTTGGTAGGTAGGCATGTACAAAGAGTGAGTGATTTTTGTTGCATGCTTGCCTCTTTCGTCCGCTTGGCTGGTTTAGAGGCTTTGGGGGCGTCCTTCTTCCTTTTTCTTGACTTTTCCTTGGGTTTTTTCCTCCTCAGAGTCTTCCCTCCCCTCCTCCCCCTCACTCCCACTGCTCTTGGCATCCGAGTCATATCTGGGAAAACCACAAGTGTTTCACATCGTCTCTTACAACCGTATATTAGCAGGGGCAAAGCACTATGAAGTGCATTAGCTGCACACAACACACAGAGAAAACCAGTACACACTGTGTATAATAATTATAATATGAGTCTCTGGGTCACATGTCTCCATGTGATTATCACATGACTCTCTAGGGCTACCATTTCACACGGTCTCCTACTGCATGTCACTAGTAGTAAATCATATGACTGCACATCACATAGAACAAGTGCAGAGAGTAGCCCCTAGCCCAGCACTAAAGTCCCAACAACACGCTTTGGGTCACATGACTTCGCGTGATTATCACATGACTCACTAGTATGCCCCACTGATACCTGATGTCTTTGTTCTTGGCCTTCCTGGAGGGTCTGACAGAGGCCATGACTCACTTAACTATCTCCCACCTCTCAATTCAACTCAACTCGACTCTAAATCAAGCCCACCTCCTGCAAAGCATGCTCTCAGGTCAACATACAGGTCCAACCTGACCACTCACACGCACACGCGCGCGCACACACGGCTGAGTACTGGGCAACGGAGATACATAACATCTGTTCTGTGGTGTGGCAGGAATGCCTGACTTCCCCCCTATGTAAGTCTATACGCAGGAGAGCATTCCATGTAGTAGTATATAGGACAAAAACCAGTTTGACTGCATACCAGACAATGGACAGTGTGCATAGCTTCGCTAGATCTGTGGGAGTATGCCGTCCATTACAGGGCGCCCATGCATGCACAATATCATGTGGCGTTTTCCACGGTGCCAGTCGGTGCAACGTTGGTGCATGAGGCAAACTTCTCACGCAAATTCAATGTATGGGCATTATGGGCCCATGCATGCACATGTCACATGTGATAGACATGCGTTCTATTCCTGTAACTTTGTAGTCACAACAGCTGCACAAATACGTCCTTATTCACAATGCATATGTACAAGCTTGTCCTTCTCTGCAATATACATAATATAGCAGTGAGGGCGGACGTAAGAGAGAGGAATGGAGAGAAGGGAGAGGGAGAGGAGGACGAAAATCAGATGTTCTTACTCCAAGTCATCATCGCTCCCACTTGCTTTGGCCACAAAGTCGGAATCCTCTAAATAGAGAAACATCTCCCTGAAATAGGAACCAGTAGTTCTGTATGGTGACTATACTGTTAGTACCGTCTTCACTGTCGTAGTTGTCTCCCTCCGCCTTCATTCTCTCCAGATAGGCATCGTGTTCGCTACCTGAAGTCTCGTCCTCCTCGTAGTCCACTGGCTGGACTGGCTGCACGGAGAGAGAGAGAGAGAGAGACAACAAACCGAACGGTGTAATTAATACACCGTGGGGGGGAATTAATGTTATGTTCCATTTCTCTTCCGTAATGGACTGGATGAGCACTTTACTTGTGTTTCTTAAAGGGAGTGTGGCAGTATATAAGGCTAAATTTAGAAACGTTACTAAAAACGGAACTGAATTGCATTCTTTAGCTGTGCCCTATTGTTCTCTACCTTCCCCTTGTTGCTGTTCTTGACTCTGATTTCTTTCTTTGTGACAAATTCAAACAGACGAGTGTAGTCCTCTCTGTCAACAGTGTGTGTGTGCAAATTAAGAAAAAGACTGCGTCATAAAATGGGCGAAACACTTTGTAATAATTCGTCTCCAATAACAAAAAAAAGAGGGGAAATTGTTGACTTGCGGGGAAATAGGCATTTTTTGTCGATTAACACCTACTCGCAAGGTATGGTGGCGCAAGTGTGACTTGTGCTCACTTCATGATGCTGCTAAAGTGAATAACATTCCCGTCCCTCAACTCCAGTTCAAAGTCAAAGGAGCGACTGATCCCCGCACTGCCCGACATCCGGGCAAAGTTGACTGACACGATCGCGTCAAACTTTATGTAGACGGCTGGCTTGTGGACAAAGATGAATCCCTTGTCGAGAGGGTAGAGGTAGCCGGAGGTGGCCCGGTTGGAGCACGAGATGGCACACTGCTCGTTGCTACTGCAGAGGACGAGAGAGAGAGAGAGAGAAAGAGAGTTAGAGAGAGAGAAAGGTGTGTGTGTGTGTGAGTGTGTGTTAAATCGGTTCGAACTTTTTGAAGGTTCCAGGGACGGTGATCTTCTTCCCGACAAGAGCCCTCATGACTCTACTGAAGACCTCGTAGAGGCTGCCGCTCATGTGCTTGGTCATCTTCCCTCCATATCTCTCCTCCAATTCCTGCCTACACATTCCACCACACACATACACAATAACAGGTTGTAGTGAGAGGGACCCCCTCTATAAGGACACCACTGAAACGAGGTCCCCTCTGCAACCGTAAGGACACATTTTCTTTCCCAAAGAACAGTTTCTTGAATGTAACGTATTCAGGGGCGTACGTTATTCAGATCCTAATGTATTAGTATGGGGCAGAACCCCTTATTCAGAGGGTCCTTTTCGGAGGTTGCACATGTATGTATATAGTTGAAGAGCTGCTCACTCGGTGAGAGAAAGAGTGACTTCAAAATCGTCTCCCTCGGTAGGTAGGAGAAAGATGATGAAGTAGTATCTCGTTTGCCCCTGCCTGATTGGGGGGTCCAACGCCATCTGTGGGGGGAAATGACAGACATAATATAATATTAAGAGGACATCTACCTATTACAGTGGAACCGTCTAATCAGGACACCAATAAGACAGAATAATTAGTGAGTTTTTCGGAGAATGGAATTAGTGAGAGGTGCCCTTACTTCATGGGTGTCCTTAGTCCGTAGATGGGGGTTCACTCCAACCTTTGTTTCTTTTCCCTATCTCGCTCAAACCTTTCCTCTTCAACCTTTGTTTCTTTTCCCTATCTCGCTCAAACCTTTCCTTTTTTCTCCCTAGTTCCGACTTTTCACCTTTCCCCTACACCTAACTTGAAACATCTCGTCTCTTCCCTATCTCACTCCCTTTCTCGCTCCAATTCACCCCATCAATACACTCCCCGGTAGAGATCAAAGTGCAGTTGGTTGTTAGCCAAGGGACATGACGTTAACCTCATACCACAGCACAGACGATAATTAATGAGGTATGGCACTAGTGAGGTACTGTACTGCATCTCTCCAATTTCCCATGGCACTGGAGTTTCAGAAGGGCCTGGTGTGGTGGGAAACCTATAATACGCCTTCTTTTGACTGAAAGCCCCTTCAGACGTATCTCATGTTGGCTTTAGTCAGTGGGGAGTGGGGCACAGTTATAATTATATATACTATTTAGCTCTGGTGACTTGATGTCTGGGTCTGTACTTTGGTTAAATGGCATAAAGGGAAGATTAGCCAACCAACCAAAGCAGGCAGTTAAAGTGTTACTGACAGGGAGGGACCTAATTCTCTATCTCCCTCCCTCCGGCTGGTAGCGAGATGAAGAGTGCAAGTCACGAAACGCGCGCGGGAGGGAACAACGATCACGACGAGGGCGTGTACACAACACGACAGCGCGCTTTCTTTACCCCCCCTCCCTCTCTCTTTCTTTACCCCCCTCCCTCTCTCTTTTTTACCCCCCCTCCCTCTCTCTTTCTTTACCCTCCCTCTCTCTTTCTTTACCTCCCCTCTCTTTTCATCTCTCTTTCCTCCAGGATGAGGCACACACCAAACACATGTTTCCACTACGGCGCCGCCGCCGTCCCACCGTAGCCAAGTTTCTACGATGGCTCAACGGTGTATCTAGTAGGCCACCACGCAGCAGAGAGTATACATGTAACAATAGACCATGTGATGCCAAGACATACGTACATACGCACCACAAAAAACATTTGTTTCTGGTCGTTGTGTGGGAGGAGAAAGAGTCGAGTCACCGAGTCGTACGGGATCTTGTAGTCAAAAGTCTTTCCGTGTAGTTGAAGGAAAGACGGATAGGGTTTGATAGCATAACGACCTCTAAAGGAGAGAGAGAGAGAAAGAGAGAAGAGAGATATATGTATCAGTCTTAGTTTACACACTGTCATTAACCAATAGTAGGGTGTATTCTTAGTAAAAAATGTGTCGACTGCATAATTATGTTTCATTCACCCTTCATCATAGCAATACAAAAAAGTTACATTTGTTGTGCCGCCATATCACAGCCCCCCCATTAATGCAGCTGTACTACTACTAGTTATGTAGGTGCGTAAAACCTAGCTGCTATAATACACATGTACAATGTACCTGGGTGTGAGTGTCTGGATCTCGTCAAAGGTCATGATGGCATCTCCCACCGCCTGCATCACATCGGCCTGCGTCAAACACAAGTCTGCAAACGCCTGCAGGAGAGAAACAAGAAATTGTACACTTATACACCATGCAATTTTCACTCTCATACACTCAAACACTAGTAGAGTATCTTTGTACAGTTGAGATTTTCGTCTGTGTTTGACATGCCCACAGTAGCATTACTAGAACACCAGGCATGTTTAGCGAGCGAGCGCAAGCAATTCATCGTATACTTAGAACGTGCAAGGGACATGTAGGGTCAAAGGTCATTAATCCGCTAGGTGACCTTTCAGCAAGGGCGCAAAACCCTTGCACAATATTACCAAACGAATCCCTAGTTATGAAGCATTCGGGGGTCCTCGCGACTGACGTTTAATCTTTCACGCGTAATTAGAACATTGCGGTATGTGCAGTGCCCGTCACATACAAACTATAAAACCTTCTCCGCACAAAAGTTTGTCTCCCAATTGCACGAGTTTCCACCGTATTACGGTGTGTGGCAGTGTTGTGTTGACCTTGGCCTGGTCTTCCTCTGGGTCTGCCTGGGACAGAGGTCGGGATGTGGAACCTCATCTCAACCAGAGACTGAGACGCTTCCTCGCTCTGGTGGAACTCCAGCGTCACCTCGTTTTTCCCCGACGTCACCTGGGAGAAAGAGGGGAGGGGAGAGCTATATAGACACGCGGGGAGAGAGTGAGAGAGGTGACAGTATCGCTCTCTTTGCACACTGCTTGCTGCTTTCACACTGATTCACGTAAGAAAGGACACTCAACTCGGAATAATTACTCGCAGTATTAAACTCGCCAATTTGCCTCAAACTTGCTGCATAAGATAATGACAGAATTTACTGGCAGCATGTACAACATTCTGAATAAAGGACACTTAATTTCGTCGCCTCAAAAGGTGCCCCTTATTCAGAAGTGTCACTGTACTATACAGCTTAATTCCTGAGTCCACAAGTGTGTGTACCTGAGACACTTCCTTCAGTGGAATCTCGAAGGCCCTCTTTGAGTCAATCAAGAAGGAGAGGAGAGAGCCGTTGACGGTGGCCTCACCCCAGTTCCAACCCTTCACGCACAGGTCCACCTCCCTCATCTCCTTCCTGCACGTCGTCTTGAAGAAATCCCTCAGCTCTCCGTAGTCCTGGATGAGAGGAGGGGGAAGAGGTGGGTAAGGTGTGTGTGTTTGTGAAAGAAGAGAGGAGGGGGAAGAGGTGGGTAAGGTGTGTGTGTTTGTGAAAGAAGAGAGATGGGGGGAAGAGGTGGGTAAGGTGTGTGTGTTTGTGAAAGAAGAGAGGAGGGGGAAGAGGTGGGTAAGGTGTGTGTGTTTGTGAAAGAAGAGAGGAGGGGGAAGAGAGTGTGGTGTAGTGTGTGTGTGTGTTTGTGAAAGAAGAGAGAGGGGGAAGAGGTGGGTAAGGTGTGTGTGTTTGTGAAAGAAGAGAGGAGGGTGTAGAAGGGGGTTAAAGCTTTCACAAAAATACTAGTTTAGGAGTGATTTGCAAAGGTGATTTATTTGCTGAAATATTTGTGTGTAGGTAGATGCGGTATATAGACCATTTACAGCTGTGTAAATGTTTTCTCCTCTGAATTACAGCAAATGCCTTTTATAATCCCATTTCAAACATTGTCGTTAAAGACAGAAGGAGTATCAAGATGGGTTTTGAAACTGCAGTCGCAGACTCACTGATTCCTTGAATCCATCAAACTTTCTGATCTGTCCGTCCACCGTTACCAGCTTCATCTCGTAGCCCTTCGCCACCCTCAACCACTCTATGTCCACGACGTCCACGTGCCTAATGAGCAGGGTCTTCCCCGTCTTTACCGACTTGAAGTGCACACCGTCCTCCTGTACCTTCAGTTTCCCAGGGTCCTGTTGTCATGGCAATGAAACAAGTTGGGAGAGCCACAGTTTACACATTCCTATTGTAAGAGCTATACACTTACAAAGACGCCTCTCGTTACAAGCCCCACGTCTCTGTAGTCCATCGTTTCTGCTGCAACGCTTCCCCCGACTGCTAAGCTAGCTTGATCATCACAGTTCTCCCGCGAAATTCCCGGTTATCGACGAGCCGGCCACGCGCAGGGTTCAAAGTGTAATCCCTCAGATTTTGCCGAGTCAGCAAACTGGAGCAAACTGGAGCAAACTAACGACATGGTAAGTGAATATTTTAGTGCGTGGCGGTTTAGACTGAAGGAAAGTTATCTTACCGACTCTTTTCTTCATGTGGTTCTAGGCCTTCTTTGGAGGCTTTGGGAATGAGGGGTTCAACCCCATTCCTGGTGGTATGGGGCTGGGATTCCCGGGAATGGGCAGGTTCCGGGAGCAGTTCCGCTGCTACTCGATGGTTTTCTCCAACAAGGAGAGCGTGGAGGTGAAACACGGCGGGAAGATCATCATGCCACCCTCGGCCCTCCAGAAACTGGCGAGACTCAACATCTCCTACCCGATGCTGTTCAAACTCAGCAACGACAGTTCCGGCCTCTCTTCCCACTGCGGCGTTTTGGAGTTTATAGCCGAGGAAGGAAGGATTTATATCCCTCATTGGGTGAGCCGGGGGGTGCCCCTCAATCAATTAAAGATGATGTAATTGTGATGTCATCCAATGATGTCGTGGACATCGTCTCATGCACAGTTGATGAACCAGCTGGACATTACCGAGGGTGATATAATAGTGGTTGAGAATGCGTCACTACCGTTGGCGACGTTTTCAAAGTTTGAACCTCAGTCAAAAGAATTTCTGGACATCAGCAATCCCAAGGCAGTGTATCCTCCTTATCTCACTGAGTTGTCAAAGCTCTCTTTCTCTCTGTTACTCTCCCGTTGTTGACTTGTTGGCCTTGCCTCTGCCTCTCTACCACACCTAGTTGCCATCACATGTATATACATACTGCTGGCTCTGTACATTGGTCTGGGTGCATAATGGTCTATAGCCCTCTTACTATTACTGTCTTTCACTGTTTCTTGATGGTGAGATGCACAGGATGTGTACGTGTATTTTAGTGCTTGCAGGGTAACTATATAAAACTTTCATGACAAAAAGCAGTGAGTGCATCGATTCTCATTTTCCAAACCTCTCGAAACGGCAGAGGTTCACATCAATTTTTGGCTTATCGGTTTTGGGAGTTGTTTGTTTGATTCTCCTTGACTGGCGTGATGGCTGACAGACTGGAGAGCAAATTGAGGTCATTTGCCTGCCTCACAAAGGACGATGTCATTGGAATAGAGTACAATGGACAGGTGGGTTGGCCTTGTCAGAAGATGAGAACAATCACGTTCTACCTGTCTTGCTTCATCCCTCCCCCACTTTTCCCACTTTCTTTCCAACCCCTTTCTCCCCTCTCTCTTCTCTTATACTCTCTCTCTCTCTCTCTCTCTCTCCATACTCTCTCTCTCTAGATCTATGAACTAAAGGTGCTGGACACCAAACCGGCCGAGGCAGTCTCTATCATTGAGTGTGACATGAAGGTGTAGCAACTGCATGCATACATTAAACAAAAACTTCACTTTTCTGTGTTTATATTAGGTGGACTTTGCGGCACCGGTGGACTATGTGTCTCCAGTCAAAGATGAGACGATAAGCCCTGCTTCACCTGATGGACCTGATGATGTACGTTACGGCTGTGCTGTTAGAGTCTGTTACGTAATGAGTGTGGCTGGGGTGGTGAATTGGTTAATAAACTCACTCCATAATGTACTATATATATAGCAGGGAAGATTCAGGGCGGAACTTTCAGATTGATTAAATGGCTACGTACTATGTGAGGTCAATGTGTCTTTCTGCAGATTGAGAGGAACCATCAGATAAAGGAGGCAGTGGAGAGAAACAACAAGTTTAAGGTATATACTCACTGCATGTCTAACATGCCTCAATGACTCTATTATACTGCAATACAGAAGTTAGGTTTTCAACATTAATGTACCATTATTATGGCAGAAAACTTTCTTGGAAGACAAGTTGACAAAATTAATTTCATGGATTTCTTGCAGTCCCCATTCCCCCATAATTTCACTTTTCGTTTAACTTTTTCTTGCCATACGTCGATTCTTTGTGTAGTGCATAAGCAAGTGACAATTAAACACTGCGTACTTATGTATATAGGTGTTTGCAGGAGAAGGTCAGAGATTGGATGGGAAGGCAAAGAGACGGTTGGACAAGGGAGACGAACCGCCTGCACAGCAACTGTACGTCCCTTCACATCTGTATTGAGATGTACCTTTCATAATCATTATTAATGATGTGTATGTACTACGTGGTGCGTGTGTGTGTGTGTGTGTGCGTGTGTGTGTGTGTGTGTGTGTGCGTGTGTGTGTGTGTGTGTGTGTTTATGAGTGACGGAAAACTTCCACAAACACTCTATATTATTATTGTACAGGCCGAGAGGGATTCCAAACTACAACTACAAGAAGTGGAAGATTACGTTTGCCAAGGCCAGCACGCTGAAGGCCTCTGAGCCTGAAGAACCAATGGTCAGTGATGTCATTATCAGGGGAAAAGAGCTTCTGGACACACTAGTAGTTGGGCCATAATACATGATGCAACTTTGTGTTGTGTGAGACAAAACTTTTGCAAATTCAGCTATCCATGTGTTGTGCATGTATCTGTGTCCTCTTGTGACGTGGAATAGCACAAGACTATATACCATTATCCCCCCCACCTCAGTGTCCTTAGTCGCGCTTATGTAGTTTATTCAGTTGCTGTTGTGTGTATTAGCCCGTAATGTGAGGACACTTTGTGTTACTGTGCAGGATGAGGGGTTGTCTGGATTTCAAGCTTTTTCGGGAGAAGGCAAGGCGTTGAGAGTAAAGAAGAAGAAGAAATAACTTCACACACACTATGTCATACACATTCATTCCCCCTCTAATGAGAGGAGCACAGCATGCATGCGCAAAACGAAGGAGCATAATCTTGCGCACACAGCATTATAGGTGGTGGGATAATAATGCCATAGCTACTGTTGTTAGCTACTACTGTCAGTTACAAGTCTGGAGAGAACGTGCAATCTTCGTAGCATATAAGAGCAGGAGATCCATGGACAAGAATATTATGCATACAATGAAGTCACATGAGAAAGTTTCCACACTTAAAATGTGCACTGTTTTTTTGGCCTAATACAAACATTTACACACAGTTGACAAACATGTACGGTTTGCATATTCTACACTTTCGTGAGGCGCACTTCATCAATGTGGGGGCACATGGCCAGGTCAAAGATCATTCCTGCACACCTGGTCTCTGTGACTGAAGGTGTCTTACACTCTATTGTCACCGTGATAGGGAGAGGAGAAGGTATACTATCTGAGCTTCTCGTCAGAATCTCGCAAATCTGTGGTAGGTATTTGTCGCATAAACTATCAGGGACGGTGAGTTCGAGATGTTGGAGAGAGAGACCAGGGAAAGCTAGGAGCCATTGGAGCAAGGACGGTAAGAAAGGGAGGCAGAGGACTTTGTTTTCACCGTTCTGGCAGGAATCTTCACTGGCAGTAGCCACTTTTTGGGATATTTTCAACGGCTCGAAGAGTTTCTGATTACGGAGTGGTGGTGGGGTGTGGGTCCTATTCAGAGGTAGGCTCTCCTGGAACAGACAACCTCCCTGGAACTGACGGCCCACCTGGAACTTACGGCGCTCTTTGAAGTGACGGCTCTCCTGGAACTGACGGCCCACCTGGAAGTGACAGCCCCACTGCCTGATGTTAAGAGTCTTTGTGCATGAAGTGGCTGTACACAAGAATGCTGACACCAAACTCTCTATATCACTCGTCTCCAATGAACAGTTGGTTAATTCAACAAGTTCAGACTGGGCCTAGTCTCCAGCAAAGACACTACGACCCCTGATACCGTGCTACAACAAGCATCACCCCCGAGCGAGTTTTTCTGTTTGATGATCAGGCTGGTTGGCGACAGGCCTGCCAGTGCCTGAGGCTGGAAGACTCCGTGTAGAACACGAGCCATGTTAAAACAACTGGCGAGGGAAGTAATAACAACCTTGATCTCTTCTACGGAGCGTAGAAACTTCAATACTGTGTCATTTCGCTTTTCGACGCTCTTCACAAATCCCAGCGATGGAGAACAGATAGATAGTGTCTTTGGTCTCCAGTCAATGTTTTCGACCAGATAGCCGACCATATTCTGGAAGCATTGCACGCACATCGGAGATAGCGTATACTTTTGGCGGGTAGCTCTTTCCACGCGCACACACCCAGAATGCCTCGCTCCCTTCAGGTTATAAGGCAGTGGTATATTGAACTCTGGGTGGAAATGGCAAGAGGCAACCTTGTACAACAGCGGGACATTCTTCATGAATACTCCGTAGAAAAGAAGGTCTGCATAATCGTCCTTATTCACCAGCTCTTCAGTATTACCCTTCGGCTCCAGGGCATGCGGCAAACGAAAACGCCCAGCTCGCTGGACGTAGGCGCGCCTCTCGGCTATGTCGGAGTCAGACACGTGGGTTTGAAAGTCTAAATGCTCAAGGCGATCGGCCGTCATTGACAGCAGGACATGCGTGACGTTGAAGAGGTAGACTTCCCTCGCAGAGGGACCTTCGTGATCTCCCTGTTTCACTTCATCCACGTCTTCAGGATAGACCCAGTCCGAGATGTGGGTCTTCAGTCTGTCGCTCCAGACTGCCTCCATGTCCAATCCCTCCACGAAATCTCGGCAGCGCTCGAGCCGCCAGAGTTCCGCGGCGGGAAGAAACGGGAGCATCTTGCGTCGAACCCGCGCTGGGAGCAGCGAGAGTGCGGCTGGAGGGTAGGTATGGACTTGCTCTACTATGGCAAAGAACGATGCATCCTTCAGACTCGTAACCGGTGGTCTAGCGGCTTCGGCGACAACCTCCATTGTACGGCTCTGCACTCTGGATCGGGGAGGCGTGGCTAAGATGTTCCCTTTGCGCATGCGTACTAGTTGACCGTCCATTATGTATATACGGACACAGTTCATGATCACAGACAACATTACATCCACATACACACACACATTGCGAGGTCAATAACAATGTACTGCAGTGACTATATTATAGACAACAAGACAACTGCTCGTAATAAAAACGACGACATAATGATGACATCATGGGTTGATCTCGGTGCTGTCGACGCAGATGGTGGGAGTCTGGTGTGACTTGAGCAGGTTGTTTCGACGTCTCGTGAAGGGGGAGGGGGAGACGGGGGGATTGGGGGAGGTGGGTGAGTGACTGGAGACAGGAGAGAGAGAATAATAAAGAAGGTTTGCAGCGAGAATCACAGGGCGTCAATGCACAAAACCACACAGTCACAACGACGCCTAGGAAAGCAATGTCAGTTTGCTCTGCTTTCTTGATTTTCATATGAAACCACTGCTGTAAATATGGTTTCAAGAACAAAAATTTCATCTGCACGTTACCTGGGTGATGGGGAGGGGGTTCCCCTCGGGGAGGTGCGGGGAGAGGATTTGGGGGAGTAGGGGTTACTGAACGACCTTTTCTTGGCCATCTGCTTTATCATTACCTGCATAATATATACGTTGGCACCACATTTAGATTCAATAAAAGAGTTTTAAATCCATGAATGCTAAAGGATGGCTGAATACAGTAACGATGTAATGATGACATAATGATGGCAGTACCAGTATGTGAATTGGCGTCCGGAAGGGTTTGAAGGCGGTGGCAATCTCCTCTTGATTGACAGAGATCTCCTCATTGCAGTTCTCCTCCTTGGGCGGTATGCAGCGATCCGTCTTACACACCCACGGGTGTTTCTATTGGGAGAAACATTGAAGGGTATATAATTATAGGGGAGAGTGTAAAAAGAGAAACGTGTATTCTGGCTCACCCTGATCTCGGGGATTGTGATTCGTTTTGTTGCGTCCTTTTCCAGGAGTCTGGCAAAGAGATCCTTTAGCTCTGGAGATATCTCCGGACTGATGGGAGAGAAGAGAGGAAGATGAGTGTGAGTTAAACATTTTGAATAGCGTCCTCACCTCGACGGAAACTCGGGTCTAGTGGTTCACGGCAGAGGGAAGGAGAAGGAGGGAGAGAGGTGATGAAATGATTATGGATATGATAGAGACGAGTATATATGCGTTACTCACTGGTCATTTCTGATGATGTCATGGAGCTCAGTGATAACCTTGGCATTGAAAGGAACCTGCAACAAAAGCAGAGTACATACTGAACTACTAATGGTACGGAATCTCATATTTTTGGGCCAAACTACTGCCCCATGTGGGCAAACCCTAAAATACGGACTATTCTTGTCTATCACTGGGCCAAGATGCAACGGAGTGAACTAAACACCCAGGCAATGACACCATGCATTCTATTGTGAACCGGCTTTTAGTGTGTATGGATGCATATCAATTTTTAAGACTCTGTGACGCTCACACTCTTGGTTGCCAATCTAGGTTGTTGTGATGTGAACAGACCTTGCCATATAGGAAGCAGTAGAGCGTTATTCCAGCTGCCCATATGTCCACGGCCTGGCCTCTGTAGGATTTGTTGGCAGCTAACAGTGGAGGGAGAGGGGGAGAGAGGGGGAGAGAGGGGGAGAGAGGGGAAGAAGAACGGGAGGGGAGGAGAGGGAGAGAGGAGAGAGAGGGAGAGGGAGAGGAGAGAGAGAGAGAGGAAGAAGGGAGCGAGATAGGAAGGAAGCTTAAGTCATAAATCAGGACATGTGCTCATACCCACATGTCCCCCACCCTTTATTGACATTACAGTGATGTGCGTTTAACGCCGGCATTTGATTCCAGTTATTATGGTACCTCTCCTCCATCCTCGTTATTTACGCCTGATGCGTTCATCTTGCCCTTGAGGGTCTTATTGACCCCTTGTTCACTTCACATGTCTGTGCCCCCCGCCCACCTGTATTTTTATTTTTGTGAACACGCAGCGACCCCTACCCCACAGGTTTTAATTTTTGCCACAGATTCCTCCTCCTGTCCATTTCACTCTTTTCTGACCGTGTTTGATCACATTCTCCCCACCTG